CCATATTTTGTAATTACAAAATAAGAAAATCAAATTTTATTGGATCAAAACGGTATTGATTCTCATTGGCGCTCTCAAACAACTCGATATCATTTATAACTAATGATTCTACGACGATGGAACACTAGTCTATGATTCCAATAGGATACCCTTGGGCCGATTACAGGCACCTACCGAACAATATCTGAAAATATTACTCGTGCAGCGAGAGATGGCATCTACGATTAAAACAATCTCAAGATTTGATATCTCAAATTTCAAACTATAATTTTAAAAAATGTTTGTAAATTTGTAATTCAGTCCTATAGAAAATTATAGAAATAATTTATTTTTACTTTTTTTTACTTGACAATAATAGTCAAAACGAATCCAAAAAGTGAATTGTTAAAAACGTTTTAGAATGTGCTACCTACTCAAATTGTCGAGGTAGACGTATGTATGTGTGTAATAAATATTTGAATAATGAGGATTTTCAATTCTATGACAAATCGCGTCAGGTTAATCCATTTGATTGACATGCACACACTCACATATAAGCGGCAGCAAAAGAAAAAGAAACAACGCGATTCAACGTCAATTACTATTAAACTTCAAGTACAAGTGTAAAACACATTTTATTTCATTCTTCTTATGTTCAAAAGATTATTATTATTATAATTATTACAGGTATATATCGTAGTAAAAAGAAAACACGAACGCCAAAGATGATGATGATTACTACGAGAAAATAATAGCAAAGTTTATTACATTGATAAAATTACTAATCTCAGATACACATGAATATTGCTTTAAAAGTCAATATCTATAAGGAACCCACTAAGATCATCAGTTAATGTCGTCGAAATTAAATGTTCGAGAACAATTCGCAATTTGTTGTCATACATACTTTGTGTAACACTAGTAACAATGGTCACGTTGATTGGTCTGTTGACACGTGTTTATATGTAATACTTTACATTTTTGTGCTTTACTACATGTCTTTGTTTCTTTCTCTTCTTCTCCATAATCACGTGACTTACGGTCCTCGTAAGGAGCGTGATCTAGACCACAAAAAAACAGGCATATGAGAATGTACGATTCTAAACTTTATTCTTTCAATTAAGGGAATTAATCGGTACTATGGCGAAAGGGTACTATTCTTGTAGTACCCACCATTTTGCCTTAGTTCATCTAACAAGGGAAGGTTCCCAAGTGTTAGTCTCCATTTTCAATGGGATATATACCAGTTTGTAGAGCTTAACGAGCTGATCACGCTGGCATATAACGTTCATCTCCATACCCTGTAGGTTAAGAGTCAGATCGATTTCAACTTTCAAAGGATCACTATGCGACGCTGTTTGGGGAAACTTAGATTTTGACGATATTGTAGTTGCAAGCGGTCGGATTTGCACCATAGAATGCGCCGTAGTCGATTGTAAATTCTCAAGCTAAAATAAAGAGACTAAGCATGTTTTTGAGTACTATACATTTTGTAAAAGAAAATATTCGCATAATAATATATGAAGAAAAGGATGATGAAAGTATAACACATTACAATCTTTTCGGATATGAAACATTCGGATAGAAAATATGCGTTAAACCTTTTCTACCCAGTTCAATCTTTTTTCATGACGCTTTTCTTGATGGTTTTCTTCCTCATATAGAACTCGAAAAGATTAATGATAAGGAGCTTCTTCTTTGGTGTGATATAAATGCGGTCAAATTAAACATAAACAAATGTCAATGGATTTTATTTTCAAACGCTACTAAAATGCTTCCTTCACTTACTCTTTCAATAAATAACGTTGATATAGAAAGAGTTTTGTCTCTTAAGCTCCTTGGCATGATTATTTCATATAACTTAACAGGGAAAGCTCACATTGAATATGTTTCAATGAAATCTCGTCAAATGTTAGGCTGTCTCAAGAGTCTTTCGTGAGTGGCCTTCATTTCTTCGTTGTCATCTGTATAAAACTTGTGTAAGATCCGTGCTTGAATACGGTTGTGTTATCTACGATTCGACTTTCACCTCTCATCTTCATATTTTGGATAAAATTTAGCGTCTTGCTATCAGAATCATTTCACAAGACTTTAGTAGTTCTTCTTCTTCTCTACTCAAACAATTTAAAATTCACCCACTTTCAAACAGACGTCTATATTATCGCCTTCTCTATTTCTATAAAATATTCAATCATAAAAGTCCTCTCTCATCTTTTGATTTGATTTCGCAGTTAACAACGCGTCAAAGTTCTTGATTAGGCCATGATAATCGCGTGTTTATTCCTCCTTTATAGTCAAAATTTGTATCCAGCTCTTTTCTTCCGCGAACATCGAAAGATTGGAATGAACTACCTTCTGCCTTAGCGAGTCAGTCTTCTTTATCAACATTTAAAAATATGCTGAGGGATTATGCAGGCTTTTAATAATGCTATATATAATTTTTTTCTTTTTTTTTGTATTTTTGGTTTAAAATTTTTAGTTTTAGGTTATCACAAGGTATCCACGGATGCCACAAGTATTTTGAACTTTTTTTGGTAATATCCTGCCTTTGCGTAAAATAAATCTAATCTGATCTAAGATTGTAACGTGTTATACTTTCATCATCCTTTTCTTCATATATTATTATGCGAATATTTTCTTTTACAAAATGTATAGTACTCAAAAACATGCTTAGTCTCTTTATTATAGCTTGAGAATTCACAATCGACTACGGCGCATTCTATGGTGCAAATCCGACCGCTTGCAACTACAATATCGTCAAAATCTAAGTTTCCCCAAACAGCGTCGCATAGTGATCCTTTGAAAGTTGAAATCGATCTGACTCTTAACCTACAGGATATGGAGATGAACGTTATATGCCATCGTGATCAGCTCGTTAAGCTCTACAAACTGGTATATATCCCATTGAAAATGGAGACTAACACTTGGGAACCTTCGCTCCTCAGTAAAGTAGCTAAAGGGGTTAAATATGTATTCTGACGAAACGGTTTTGCGACAGTCATAAAAGTTACAATACTGCTTCATGTAAGAAGTTCGAAGCATTGACTGAGCAAATTTTACAGTAGTAAGTCGCATTTTATTAGCAATAATCCCTAAATATTTTAGAGATATGAGTCTCACGTCTTAAACAGTATTTTTTGTTCAATTCTTCCACCAGTTTCACGTACAATAAGGATTCTTCCCATAAATGTTTAACTATGAATGAGAATCGTACCCTATTATCTCTGAAATACTTTTCTAAGAAAACGCTACGTAAAGATTTTTAAAAGGACTTTCTCGTGACCATCGTTACCGTAACGTTTGGAAAAAAAAGTGACGAGATCGTTACCGTGACGGACATCTATAAAATAGTGTTTTAGTTATTGGTGCATGTTGTGTTTGGAAATATTCTCTTGAGTGTATGTTAAGGATCATAAAACGAAAAATGTCTGTCTGTCCGTCGGTTACAGGAGGATGGACAGTCAGAAAGAAAAAATTTTTCATCAACAAAAATTCTCTTGACTTCAGTATATAATAACGCAGGAAGAAATTTGCATTTAACTGGTTGGAAGAGTAGTAGTAAATAAAATATGAAATAAAAGAGTATAGGACTGCTACAAATATCATTTTGATGGTATATAACATCAAAGTGATATTTGTAGCAGTCCTATACTCTTTTACTTCTTATTTATTTCGAATTTGTATTTATTCCAGGAGATTCTGGCTTGTAGGGGCTCCCGAGAACTCTAAGTTTTCTAACGATTTCTGCGTTAGCTTCAGCCTAAAACAATGGCGAGCGTGGTATTCGATCTCTGGGACTCTATAGAGAGCCTCCGAAGGACTCTGAGGATATTCTATCACTGACAGTCAAGAGATTGAGCGAGTTCTGGCGAGTATTACTTGTCACACGTCTTAGTTCATATGGAGGAAAAAATGTCACGTGAGCTTCAATAAAGTTTTTTAGCATTATCGCGCTAATGTTTACAAAAAAATGAGAAAATTATTCTAGTGGGTGAATCCCAAACAAGATATAAAACGAAAAAGCAAACAGGAGCAACATCATCGAAAAAGCTTCGATTATACTCCTTGTAAATGTTATTTTACAATGTGATTATTATTTAAAATTATTATCTATTTCTCATAGTTATCCGACCAATGGATAGATGGGATCATTTTTGATTTCTCCTCAGCGTAGAAATTGAATGAAAATTATAAATATTGTATTTTGCTGATGCAGAAGACGAAAACAGTGCTGGATTTTTATGTCTATCTTCAAGTATCAACTCTTTTCTAGGTAAGATGAACTTGATCTTTATATGATTAGCCTCATTCTTCAAGAATGTTTCCTTCTAAACGAGAATATTTTACTTAACTTTGATGTCAATTAACAAATCTACATTTCTCAAATTTCCTCCATCTGACCGACCAACAAACCAAGTTCTTTAACTGTTGACATTGATATATTCACGAAATATACTCCTTTCAATTCCTTTCATTCTACGTTCTATGGTTTATTTCGGCGATAATAGAAAAATAGAGAAATAGTAGTATAATTGATCAACAAACGAGAACAACTACACTCATGAAAAAAAAAATGTTTTATCTAAAGTATTTTCAAATGTAAGAATAGTCGATCTTCTTATTCAGAAGAAAATAGAGCAGTACAAAAAGAAAACGAACAGGATAATTGTTGATCATACGAGATAAATAGCTTGTGCGTAGGTACACTTTTTTCTTTGTTCTATCACAGTGCTAATATATATATATATGGCAAAGTAGATAATCTAAATTCTTGATAGAAAAAATAGGAAAAAAACATAGAATGTTGCGCTACATCCTTTTCACAATAAAAAAGGATTGAAAGAGAGAAATTACATGTGTATAACTCAATAAGAGACTAGAGAAAAACAAATGATCAACAACAACAAAGTATAAAAATACCAAAAGAGAGAAAAAAAGATTGCATCCGAACAAATAAACAATCATATGTGAAAAAAGATTAAACAACAACAACAACAAGAAAAAAATAATAAAAACGATCGTCACATAAGTCCAAAACCTTCAGCATACTGTATGGCTTTCACTAGTTTTTCTTGTAATTTTGCTTTGCTTGAATATTCAGGTAGTAATAATGCATTGAAACATGTATGAGCGGTTGGAAGTGAATCAGTATCGGCTGTTTTTCGTACAATAACTAATTTCAATTTAGCCAAACCTCCAATTGGTGTACGATCACTACCTGTTGTAAATCGAAGAAATTTTCGTTTTTGATCATCTGTTAGATTATTCATTATATCCCAGAAATTTCTAAATAAAACAAAAATCTGCATACTCTCAACAGAATAGAATACCAATGGTCTCTTACTTAATTGTCGGATGCTCAGAAGAATATCCTCCATCGTATTCAGTGGTAGACGCTAATTGATCAAAATCAAGTACCTTAATAAAATAGTACATAATAAAGAAGACATATTGTAAAATGCTAGCGTATGACATTTACTTGACTTCCGGCTACTAATAATTCAACTTCATCCGGTCTAAATAATTTTCTTAAATAACTACCATGTGTTACTAATAAAAATCCATGATAAAATGGATTAAATTGTTTCTCGATGCTCTTATTCAAGATAAAATTGCTGTATAAACGAATAAATTCCTAAATAAAGTAAAAATATTAATACAATTGTAAGATAAAGAAAATTAAGAGTAAAGTCACCTTTTTTGACATACATAATTAGAATTCTTCTCTTATACTCTCTCCTTTCATATTATTTGTTTTCTGTTCTGGTTTTTCACTCTGTAAACTAATTATTGGACTGATGATGTCAGTAGATAACTAATGAAATATTCCAATAAATAATGTTATTTAATCACACTAAAAAAGGCGACTTAACTCTTAATTTCTTTATTGAAAATTTTCATCTCAAAATCATCAAAAATTAATTGTACGAGTCGTTTTTTATACAACAATATACTTCTCTATTATCATTTGTAACAAGAATATTGTCTCCATCCTCTTTGAGATCATATGTCAAACGACTACCCGTCGCATCCGTTAATGATACTCGAAATGTAAGACTAAATATATCTTCAATATTTCCACCTTCCGTTATTTCGTTATAAGATAATAAACGTTCTAAACTTTGATATATCATCTAAAGAACATAAAAAATTATGTGCTTAGAAAACAACCTGCGGGTCTTTTACGAAAAAACTGTTACAATATTTTAAACTAAAACAATTGAAAATACAAAATCGTCGCTTTTCTCCTCTAATTATTACTGTTAACTCAAATTCGTATTATCACATACCGGATACTCAAATATCCAAATCCGTGTTGCTACATACCGGATGTGATTTTTCTAAATCTTCAAAAGTTCCCAATTTTCCCATTAATTTTCTGTAAACCACAGGAGCAAATTTAATGTCTAATATGATGTTGTTATAGATAGCTAAATATAAACAAAAATAATAAAGTCAATAAGAAGAATATCTGATACATTTTTTTCTACATTTACCTAGTCCGATAAGCATTCCTATGAGTGTATATTCACGATCCATATCATCACCTGCTGATGGATTAAACCACATAGATCTTGTTTCTTCATCAAACATAAACATACCTTCAAAATAAAATTAAATTTGTCATTTTATCTATATTTTTATTCTATTTTTTGATATTTTACCATATTCTGGTTTAAATACTTGTTCAGTAATTAACTGAAAAAATTCTTTACTAACACCTCCTTCATCAACACCTGTTAAATGAGATAAACAAACGGTAAGTCGAAAATCTATCATCAGTATATGTTTAAATGTTTTTACCTTGTTCACCATCAAACTCGACAAACAATTGTTTTTTTAATTCTTGTGGTCGTTCAATGCCCTGATATTCAAGCTAGATAATTAAATTTACAAAAATTGAGACGTGATAGTACGAGATTTATTTTCTCAATTACTTACAGCTATTAATGCATCTTCAATAAGATGATCTCTTCTTACATTAATTTTAAAATATGGATTCAATCTTATACCGAGTAGACTATGTACAACGGATGTATGTCTTTCACGATACATTTTTATTTTATTTTCAATATTTAATAGAGCTGAAGACAAGAACAAAAAAAAACATACAGTGTTACATTCATTTTTTCTAATATAAAAATATTTTTGTGTACCTATTTTATTTGTTGTTGTTAAAAAAAATGGATAAATAATAAATGAAAATGAAACTGATGCTTTTTGACGATAATAATTTAAATATTCTTTCATTATTTCTATTTTTTCATTGACAAATTCATTAATAAAATCGTCATACGATAAGAGACCAGAACGATATTCATTTGGTTCTAATCCTACCGCTTTCTAAAAACAAATAGAATATCAAAGAAATATTGCATAAAAGTGAAAGATTTAATATTTACTTGTAAATCAATATCAAATGGATTCTCATCTTCTTCTTCGTTTTCTATATTTGATGCCATTCGTCGTGACATTGTTTCATTATTTTCATTGTTTAGTCCCGTTTCGTCATCGTCATCTTCATTTCGTTGTTCACGACGTTTTATAATTTCAGTACTCATTAATTTATCTTGTTCTTTTTCTAATTTAATAACTTCTAATTTATCACGTTTACCACCAAGCAAATTGGAATAAAAAAATATTCGTAATACATCTAAACCATCTTTCATTCCTAAAACAAGCAAAGATTCATTATTTCTTTTTTTTTTAATGAAAATAAATAAATATATATATACCTGCTTCTTGTGATAATAATTTTTCACTGCTACTATTAACAGTTGTATGTTCTACCCATATCATTGTGTACATAGTCAAATATTGTCGTAAATGAGTAACATAAATGGATAAATCGGATGATGTCATTTTAGAATAAATTTGTATAATTTTTACTTGAGATTTTTTAGATAATTTTGTTATTGAATGATAAAAACATCTTGCACAATCAAAAATATATTCAGGATAAGATAGATAAGATATTTCAAATATAATAAAAAATATATTCAAAAAATTATTGTCATTTTCTATTGACTGAGTAGAACCCAAATCTAGGGTAATGTTTGATGTGAGAGTTTTAATAGCTTTATTCAATGGAATTAATAAATAATCTTCGTATTTAGTACATAATAATTTTATAGCACGACGCATCGCAATAAAATCTAATGTTAATTCATCTGTTGCTAATTCTATTTTGTCATGATAGATTTTAGCTAAAAAAAGAAAAGAAAAAGATCAGAATTAACACAGTTATAAGCTGTTATTTATCTAAAGATATTTTAACAGTAATGAACAAATTGTACTCAAATGATAGCAGATTATTTGTGCATGCATACTTTTTGAAATTGCACTGGTATTGTTGCTATTCTGAATTGCATCTCCATCTCCATTTTTTGCATTTGAATGCAATAATTTGTTTTCAAATTCTTTTTTTAGAAAAGATGTTGACAACATTCTTCGATCAGAAAATATGGACACAATCGTGTTAATAAATAATTCCCAATTGTCTGTTTTATGACATTCTTCTAACAGATTATTTAAAATTGTTTCATTAAATCCAACCGAAGGTAATGTTGTTGTTACTGTTGTGGGGGAGTTTTCTGTACATAATTCTACATTATGTTCTTTACTTAATTTCACTGCTTCAACAGCAGCAACATTTTTATCATTGAATAATGTACGATCATATTTAAATGATGGACTAGAATAACAATAAACATTCGAACAATGTGTGTTACCACAGCCAACCGTTAGCTGATAGAAATAACGCTGAATCAACTTTTTACTACCAAAAGTCGACATCTCATCGCATTTTATGCTAGGAAAAAGTTCTAAAAGATAAAAATAACTTATAACTAAGCCAAATTTTTTGTAGGCAAAAATCGCCTGTCAACAATTTTTTGAACAAGTCTATTGAGAAATATTAGGAGGAAAATGCGCGATGAATGGAAAGGAACAGGTCACTAATAGATACATCCCTACAGCAAATTTCATTACAAACACGTAAAGTTTTATTTTCCGTCGTGATTCACCATGTAGACAATCAAAACATGTAATTTTAAACCAGCAAGTTTAAGCTTAAAGGAAGGTTCTTCGTTTACTCAACTTATTCATGTTAGTGCTTTTAATAACTATACAAACCGACACTCCTAAAAATGAGATCACTTTGCTTATACTTGTGAAAAAAAACAGTGTAACTCAAACAATAGAATTTATGGCGAACAGAGATTTAAAAGAGGAGGTTGTAATTCCACTACGGAAGTAGATAAACGATAGTCATATTGAGAGGGAACACAGAGAAACAAGTTGAGAGAGAATGAACTACAAGTCGACGTAATCTACAGAATGTGTGATGGTGATAGATTTATCCATTTAGTATATTATATATATACTATACTACAATTCTGTAGCGCCTGTTCAAGCTAATCCATGATTTACATAACGAGTTTTTTCTCGCAAAAAATGAACCACTAGCATCATACATATTGATCACCATTGATTTCAACAAGAATCAGTAGAGGTAAGCACAATATCTGAAGAATACGCTCTGGCGTCAACTACTTGTGACATCTGTCGCTGAAAATATAATTTTATCAGTTGTTCAGTTTGACTTGTTCAACGCCTTCTACACACTAAAAAGAACGTCAGAATGTCAACATTTTTGATCGATGACACTTTTTTCTCCATCTTAGTTTACTGATGGTATTTTTTCGATATTGAAGATAAGGGCATTATTAATGCGCGTATCTTCAATATCGATAAATATAAAAATTAGATTAGTTTGAAAATGATTGAGATGCTTAAAAAACAGTTTGTAATTTGTAAAAACTACAATTACAATTACTGTTGCAATAAAAAAGTGGCGCTATACCAGTTTTGTCTCCTAATATTCAGAGGATGGATAGCGGGTTTATCAAACTCAATCACCGATGAATAAGCGGTGTTGTTAACAGAAAAAGGTTTCAAGAACAATGTCTAAAATTGTTTTTACGTTTGAGAAGGACTGTAGTTAATACTGCAGTTTTTGAAAATAGATTATAAATATAGTTTAAAAATAAAAGTACTTTATAAGTGATAATAAGTAAAATTATTTTCATCTCTGCTCATTTGCAATCTATTGAAGACTTTTTAAAGTTAAAGGATTCCCAGAACGTCAAAAACGGTCACATTAAAAGTTCGTTAACTGCTCGTCAAATGACATTTTTTAGCCATCTGACATAATCATTCACTACTTTTAGATATTTTTTAACTGGGAACGTACTAATGGCTGAAAGTGGCATTTTTTTTAATTGGTAAAAAACCTGTCGGGAACCGGGCAGTTAATAGTATCATTTAATGACCGCTTTTAACATTATTATTGACACTGAATGGTCGATTATTTACACTTTTCTCTGATTGATTTCTTTTCGATGAATACTCTCAAGGAGAATAATTCCCAACTTCTTGGTATTTTTTGATTCTTTGATTTCTCCATCACTGATACCAGATCCAGAATCTAGAGTCCTGCGGAGCAGCCACGAATCCCGTCCCGCGAGACAGACGAGCTCATAACAAAAAATAACTTTACTGGCTTGGGCTCACGGGCTCAGAGCAAGAAAAAAATTTCACAGACTCGGGCTTACAGAGTCGTGACAAGTCACTGAAAAATGTTGTCACGTAAAATTATTTTGGTAAAGCAGTAATATTGAAAAAACGTAGTAAGAAATACAGAACTGCTACAGTCAGTTTATTGTCCGATATATAACTGTTGATTACGATGCGAGAAAGACATTTAACGTACAAACAAAATGTTGAGAAAAAGAAGATTAATAGTCACGCTTATTGTGGACTTTTTGACTATTGTCATGCCAAAGAATAGGCATTTAACTGTGCATCCTAAAATGTAGAAAAATGTCGCAGTTAAATAGTTATAAAATATCTGTTCACAAGTCATTCTTCAATTTCAAAATGACAGTGCAAAAACTGACATTTAAAACTAACTGTTTCATTCAGACTTTTATTTTGTCATCATGACTGGGTAGATAAACGCTACTAAAATTTTCAAAAACTTTGAAAGTTTTCACTTCCTCGATGTGCCACTCATGGACAGCTTGAAATCTCAGACTTATTTTTGCAAAATCCGCGTGACAAAATTTAAGCCTAATTTATTTGATTCTTAATTTAAAAGATGCTGTATAAAAAAATGTTTTACATCCACTCACTACCTCAGAATCGAAAGGAAAGAACTGTAAACCGAGTTTTAGATATGAAACACCTTCTCAAGTGTAAATCCAGACAGTTTCGCCTCTCCAGGTTAATTTTTCTTAGTTATTATAAAATTACGATTTTGCCTTGATTGTATTACAAGAATTAAACATTTGAAGTTGCAGCATAATTACAATCGAAAGACAAAACTTACGAAACAACATTTTTCAGTGACTTGTCACGACTCTAGTGACTAAGCCCGAGTCTGTGAAATTTTTTTCTTGTCCCGAGCCCGCGAGCCAGTGTACACCGGTGCGCATGACCTGCCATCGGTCACTGGCACCGGTGCGCACCCATGCCCAGCAAGTGCCAAACCAGTGCCGATATATTTCTGCCCAAAAAGTGCCGCACTGGTAAAAATCAGTGCCGTATGGGTACAGCACCGGCAAAAATCAATGCCGCATCGATGCCTCACTGCAGCATTGCCTCGCCACTTCTCTTATGAGAAGGAAAAGATGAATTCAAAAGGACATTCGAAATATTAAAAGTTTACTGTGGTGTTGATATAGACAGAAGTTGACAAAACAAAGTAGTGATTGAAAACAAAACTTCGGCACTGGTGCGCATCCGTGCACAACCAGTGCCGATAAAATATTTTTTTGTCGGGTTAACCGTAGAAAATTTCAAGTTACTTTTTAATGGTTTTCTAAAGTGCTTTCTAAATGTCTGTTTCTCTGAAAATCAAGATGTCATGTCTACATAATTAGCTGGAAAATGTTTGTAAGCCGTTTTTACGAGTTTATTATATATTAGAAGTCATTTTTTATACTTTATCTCGTAGTTTATTTATTCAATTCAAACGTTTCGGTGTTTTATACACCTTCTTCAGTGGATAAATAATTAAGAAAACACAATTGAATGATAAGAAATATAAAGCTAAAATTCACAACATCTAAAAATGTAAATTAGGATATTGATAACAATCACTAGTTTTTCACTACTTTTCCTTTCTCTCTCGGTCTTAAGTTATGAGTTCTGTTGATGTCACACGGTTTTTTGATTCTCGCGAATAGACGTCCGGATCCTTTTTTCACCCATCTTTGTATGGTTGGAAGCCACTGACCGAAACGTTTGGATTGAATAAATAAACTACGAGATAAAGTATAAAAAATGACTTCTAACATAATTAGCTCTTTCAGTGTATGCGTAAATATGGTTAGATTTCTATATCAACTTGTAAAAAATTAAATGGAGATCCAAGGTTTGGTTCGAAAGTCGATGATTAATGCTAACCGATTAATTTTCTAAAGGTTATCCGGCAAAGCATTATTTCAACACGAAAATTAACTAAATGTGATACTTACCATCATTCTAGTCAGCGTCTCCAACATTCTTACAGGTCGAGAACATTTTGGCAATGCCTAGTTTTCGAATATTTTCTCAGTAAACTTTTCGAGAGAAAATTTTGTTTGATGTACGTTTTTAGCCCAGATTTTGCTCTTTGAAACTAACACAAAACAGAAGTCTTCACAATACTACTTGATATTTTGTGCAAAAATTTTTGCAATACTTGTCAGGTTGATGTTACTTTTATCTTAGAGGTTGCAGTGTCTCTTGCAACATGCTAGCAACACTTTCTGCTGAACAATGCATTGGTTTTAAAAAAAAGTACAGTATATTTGTTCAATTTTTCGTTTCAACTACGTCTGAGTTCACTGGACTCTTGGTCTGACTTGACATGGCATTTTCGAAGGGCGTTTGATTGTTTGTATTATACTACAATATTTTACATCATGAAAAACTAGCGAAATCTCAAATTAGACTATTGGCAATAGTCAGTTCTTGAAAATGTTGTTGCAATTGTTCTGTAGATACATATTAAATCAAAATATTTATCAGCCTTGTGCGTACAAGAGACATGAAAGAATAACATTTTCATTAAGTTCACATACTTTTACACTATGAAGGAAGAAAAAAAGAAATGGAATGAAAAGTGTCAAAGTTCAAATCAAATCACACATATTTGCATGATACATGTGTCTGATTTCTATTTTTGTTGAATATTGATTGATTACGTTACTATTTCTATCTTGATTCAACTGTTTCCTTCTTTCTTCGGCTTTCGTTTCTTTTCTAATGTTGATACATTAAGAATGACACGAAGACATAAACCAGTTGTTTATTCCTGTTTTAGTGAACAAGTTGACACTCGTTTATACTTCAAGCCAGCTTATTGTAGTCATCTAGATATGACAATAATGTTTTTAAATAGTTTTCATACGTGATGTACTGCAAGCAACAATCGAATGTACGCAGGATCATAATCGATGCGGATATGAACCTGCCTAAGTACAGAATCTAATACTAAATCGACATATTGCTTGTAAATGAACAATGGTGAATTATAATCGTCAACACGATCAGTCCTTGACAAGAAAAAAGCGGCAGACACTTCCAGCAACTTGTTCCTCATTGTTGACTGTTTTATCATCAATTTTCGAGCAAAGGCACTTCTAAAGTAAAGCCTATACACATTCAGAATTTTCTTTTGAAATGTCTGACGCGCACTGTTCTTTTTCTCAACGGTTTGGGATGCCTCTACACATTACTAGCCATTAGTTTTTTAGCAAACCAGAGAAATCGTAATTTTACTTCACAACGTTGTATGTGCCGAGTTAAGACATAGGAACATAAGGAAGATGGTTCAAAGTTAGCGGATGATCTACCGGTAAAAGCCACGAAGAAATAATTTCACTTTTTTTATTTTATACTGTTCATAATCACGAAAAAACTGGAAAAAAATCATCAAATTAAAAAGTAATGCGTGGAAAATGATTGTCTATAGATAGAGTTAATAGTACGTAAACAAAAAATGACAAAAACAAGTAAAAACGGATTGGAATATCTTTGTTCTTTTTTTGTAAATAAATACGTATTGCAAGTTGCTTTATATTAATAAACACACAGAAAAAGTGAATAGTAGAAAAACAAGGCAGAATCAACTTTCTTTGGCGTATCGATAACGTTGCCGTTTTGAATCAACATGTTTATTTTGCACAGATATGTAATAATCATTTAAGTCTTGGAAATTTATCTGGTTGCGAGAAGAAACATTTTTAGTAAGTGTGGAGGCATTGAATGTTAATGATCCACCAGAAGGTAAAGGATTCGTCGTTAAATTCGAAGATATACTAAAAAACGAAACAACACAAATTAACACACTTTAGTTAACGAAACAACACAAAAGTAAGCAGAGTAGACAGTGCCTGTTTGTTCCCCTTTGTGATGTTGTCAATTTATCAATAAATGTTGGTACACATTCTAATCTTCTTCTCAATGTATGAAATGCATCTGTTTGAGGTAACAACATGAGTAGACCACATAGAGTACGTATTAATGTTTGGTTATTCTCAATATCGAGTAAAGCTAAACGAAGATCTAAAAAGACAGAAACAGCATTGGAAAATATATAATATATTATGATGCATACATGTAAATATTGGTGATTCAATTAACTGAACTAATTTATCAATTTCAATTAGAAAATCTACTGTTACTTCCATATCCGAACTAGAAATTAGAGACAAAATTAAAACTGGTATCAACGGAAAACATGTCTATTTTATTTTATCTTACAACAATTGTACTAATGTGCACGCATGATCATAATTTTGAGATAACAAACATAAAGCAACAGTTGCTACAGGATTATGACACCACGTTTTGTATAAACACACGAATAATGTTGCACTATCCTACAACAACAACAAATAATGAGTCAATATTATGGAGAAACTTGAATATTGGTTACTACCTACACTTGTCTGAAGATCTTTCAATTTAATCCTAAATTCATGTAATTCAGTTGATGTTAAAAGTATTGAACTTAAAATTTTAACCATCGTCGAGGCAAATTGTACATCTGATTCATTTGACAAGGTTTCCGATAATGTTCGATAAATATCTTCAGCACACAACAACATACATAACTGTCTAAATGTGCAAGAGCAAACAAGAGTAATATTAACAAATAAATATTATGTGGATAAAATACCGAATTATAAATGATCCACGTGTTTCTAGTAATAGTCGATCAGTGCGAAATAAATCCATGAGGACAACAATAAATTTTGTAAAATAATCATTGTATTTTCGAATGTTGTTGTTATTTGGCAGTAATTCCGAAGAGGATAATGCTATCGTTTTAGGTGTTGACATTGTTACAGGCGTGTTTGATGTTGATATTATTGCAAATATTTGCAAAACGAGAAGTACAGCCTACGAAGACAATAACAATGAATTATGAACAAGTGACTCCTAAAACTCCGTTTACTGGTAATTTGAATCGGTTTTGACCAACTTATTGTCGCTAAAGCTAATCAGTTTTACTGTCTCTTAATATTAAAGCAAAGAACAACGCTAACACAACAATCACCGAAAAAAAAAGAGCTATTTTATATCATTAACTAATCGATATGCAAACCATAATTTATGATCTCACTTTCTGCCGTATTTCTATATTTATTTTTTCCAATAATATTTTAGAAGATCTTAATGACTATCAAAAAGCAAAAACAATTTCTCTTTTTATTAAAAAAAGAAAAATATAAAATCGCGATGATGAACACATTCTCTCTCAACTCAGATTTATTCCCAAACAGATTCAAAATGAATAGCTGTTATAGATGGGCCATGCAACGATTTTACCTTAATATGGAAACTGTTTGCCTGTAAAATAAGATGCAATTAGCTCGAGTAAGCATGAATTGCGTAGTATTAATAGCTCCGTTATTTGGATAAAGATATAGTACAACTTACTTCATCTGTTGAATCACTTAATACACGAAATAAAACGGGAAATAATATATCGATATGTGGACTCATCTAGAAAACAAAATAATTCATCGATTTTAACAGTTCGTAAAAACTTATGACACATCTCAACTCAACTGACCTTGTCTTGTAAACAATCGAATAGGTGATAAACCCATTGAAGTGCTATAATTCGTGACTGTGATGCACCTAATTGAATTTGAGTTTTTAATACTTCAACCACTTTAGATATTGTTGACTCGGGTAAACTGAACAAACATACCACGTGTTGATGATGCAAACAAATTGATAATTAAAATATTTACTTTAGACAATATTTTCCCTGTTCATTTGCAGTACTTTCGGTTTTAATTAATTGTCTTAATATTTGATTTATATCGTTTGCTGTTTGACGGATATTTTTCCATTGTTAAGGATAAATAAAGAGTAAAAAGACATTGTATACTTTAAAAGAAAAAAAGGATATTTTGTCTGTTATCATCCTCGTACGACATACACGGTAAAATGGCTGCCAATAAGCCAGCTGAATGAGGCAGTAATACTTCATGAGAGCTCATATTCAAAAATTCTCGCAGCCAATATAATGACGTATATTGAATTAAATCATCTAAACGAAATTTAGATCAATAATAAGAGGTTTCGGATGCGAGAGTAAAATGATCGACTTTAACGATTTTCGTCAAAAAGATCATGTAAACAAAGACAGTATGCTATCTTATTCAAGACAAAAAAAAACTATAATCTTTCATCAGCATCATAAAAACAATCTAATATCATACTCTTCTGATTCATAAATGAACGCTGCTAATCTATAATTCGGTTCACTTTGATATCTCTTAAACTTACATTTGTACTTAACTTAAAAGTAATCAGATTTTCTTGCAGACTTAGTTCGAATCTTACTACTCTGCAATATAGCTACTATAGAAATTTCACATATCTATAATCTGTTAGTTTTGATTCTGACTGTAATCATATCAGAAATTATAATGAATTTGTGATGAATGTATGGAAAAATTAATTATATGACATACCTTTGTAGGTAATCGCTATAACATAAGATAATTTAGGATGTTGCTACATCGTAGAAGAAGAGAAATTATTTAAAGAATAAGTTAAAATATAAGAAAATTATCCGCGTAAAATTTGTTTAATATTGTGCTAAACTAATTATAAACAAAAGAACAAGAGAAAATGATTTATCATTGAATATATATAGTTTTGGATTTTTTTTACGATAGGATACAAGTCCATCGATACTAAACTGAAAAAAAATGCATAGGTAAGCTTGAAAAGAGGCATGAAAACTTTCCAAAAGTATTTTCTTGATGAAAACGTATAAAAAGTACTTGATCATATCCAAAATATACTCAATTTAATACTAAAAAGTAGCATACATACCTGTTGACTGACAATTTTGTATAAGTATTCTTGTCATATCTTCAAACATTGATGGTTCTATTGAACTTGTTTTCAAAATCGATAAGAATTCATTAAATAATATTTCACATCTACAAATTATCGAAAATGACGCTTGATTTTTTTTTGTAGGTTTGATATAAGATGAACAAGAATCTTACGATTTACGAATTTCTGGATTTGGATCGCCGAGAATATGACATAAACCATCGAGTATTTCTGGTAAATATTGAATCATATCTAATTCTGGTACAGATGTTAATAAAGAAATCTAGGATAAAAAAATTCGGTCTGTAAAAAGACTATAATAATTAAAGAAGTTATACCCAAGAGACAAGAAATTGTCGTGTAAATGGATTTCGAATATAAATTCTTTCGCGTAATATTGGTATAAATGCAATTAATTCAAATTGTGTACATGTCTCAGTAACAATATCTTTTAATAGACGATCAAGTAATTCAGCACCCGATTTAACTGTAGGCTCCATATCCGCAACTAACTAAAACAAAAGTAAAAATTCAGGATACTTCTATTTTAATCTGACAGTTGTACAGACAGTTATCGCTCAAAATACGTTTTAAAACGATCAGTTATTGTACACACAAATCTACCTTAGCTAGACAATCAAATATTTCATTAAAATATGCTAATGTTACTATTCTTAAAACTTTGGCAATGTTATACAAAGATTCACATGCATAATAGCGAACTTTTGGATCGTTATCGAGAAAACATTGGAGAACCGGTGGTATTAAATATTGACGAAATCGTGGAGCTTCCTAAAATGATATGAAGAAAAAAAACGAATTTTGTACGTAACGAGAAAGATTACAAAAGTACTACTTTTCCAGTTGCAATTGCCAATGCTGCTATGCCAATCAAACCTCCACGTCGGAAGTTTCCATTCTGTGATAACACAAATTGTTCACTTAATACTTTACAAATACGTTCAACTTGTTCATAATTCTGGGCAGCCATTAATTCACGTACGATTCTATAAGGAAAAAGAGGTATAACAAACATTTATCCATAATTTTCATTATACTCATTGCGACGTTTTAATCTCGGATTATGACAGAAAAACGGGTTCAGCCGCGCAATGGAGTTAAGTAAATTTTCCCGATTAGTCTAAACATTTTTGAAATAAACAGTTCTTTCTTCAATTTCATTTTTTGTTAGAAACTCGTGCTGTGCGCAAAAAAAGTACTGTCTGAGAGATTTTTATGGATAAAATGTTTGTTTCACAGATCGATAAACTTACTTTTCAATTTCAAGTGCAGCTGTCTTTCGTTTTTCATACAGTTTATCTGTTAATGTTTTAACTAATGTTAACGTTAACGGTAAGTATTCACGCTCGCTCATTCTGTTTTAACAATCTATAAAAACAAAATTAAAAAAAAACGAATCTGATATTATTTTCAAATTAGAATTATCAATACGGTTAAAATACAAGGAAGATTTATATTCATATATAGAACAAAAATTAAGAAAGAAAGTCCATAATCGCTATGAATGTGAAAAAAAAGAACGAAAGAAAAAAATTCATAATCACAAATAAAAAAATAGAGTCGAGTAGTTTGATGGTAATCGAATAACTATTGGAACATTCTTCTATGTATATTATGAGACACCATATAGTATCATATCATCAAACTACCTCGTATTCTTATCAATTTTAAAATTATTTTATCATGTTATGGACTCGATCTATCCCCGCCTAAGTATTTAAGGCCTTTTGTACCACCTCAGATGCTCGAGCCTTCAGTGTACCATCTGAAAAATGAATTTTTACAGCAAAATAGCGCCTCACCTACTTTGGTTTGAGACATTGCGCCTCAAACGTCCCACAGAATAGACGCTCCTGGATCAGACAAAGAAAATATATTCAAAAGAATTTGTTTTAACTAATGAAAATTATTTTTAACACTCAAACATAACCTAAAATTATTTTAGATTAATATTGAGAAATTTTACTACTAAAAGTCCAAAATGAGCATAACATTTATTTAACGTATAGATTTATTTTCATAGCACACAATTCTTTTTTGTTTTCTTTATAAGTAATTGATTCAAAACAACTCAGAGTATTACTATACCGTTTTGCACGTAAATGGCAGAGATTATCAGCTAATTTTCACGAAACTTCTTTCATATAAGAGTATTTTCCCTGAATCACTTAATTGATGCAACGTCTTAGCACTACGTTCAAAATCTCTCAAAAGTGATTTGTGTAGTTGCCAAATTTTATTTTTTTTATTATACATACATAGAACAGAAAGAAATTCAGAAAGAGAAACAGAACACGAAAAAAGAGAGTTAACGTCAACAAAAAAAGAACCCGTTTGCACATAGCTCTATATCCACAGTATGTTATTATAAAAGAAAAAGGTGCAGAGAGAAAATATATAAAAAAAGATCACAAATAATCTACCTTACATATTTTGTTAATTTAACAAATAATTAAGTGAAAGAAAAAAAAATGGAGATGCTGTAACTGTTACATTTTCAAGTTCAGTTTTCATAAAGTCTGATAAAATTTTAGACATGTATGCAATAATATTGCAGAAGATGTGCTACAACTGCTTGTAAACGAAAAAAGATTCAAGTTCAAAACTATAGCCGATTCTTTATAATCTTGAAAATTTTAAACTAGAAGAAAGAAGACTATGCGAGTTCAATTACTATATTTAAGTAATATCTCTTTTCCCAGAAAAAGAAAACAAATCATATTTTTGAACTATACTCGAAAAAACGATACCTCTCTTAATTTTTAGGCATGAGAAAGGTAAGGCGCAATCTGTCTATATTTGAGCTATCTTGAAAACGAAGATTTGATACAACATTACTGAACGACGAAAACGGTTCAACATATACACTTTTCTATAGTATATAAAAGAACAACAACAAAAGCCAAAGAAAAAGACAAAAAAATTGATAAATACAAAAATACACACACACACACACACACACAGAAAAACAGATTTGTTTTTAAACTGATCATTTTTTTTCTATTCTAAATAACAAGAATGGAAAAAAAGAAACACACACACACACACACACTTTGTCTCTCACTTTCGTCTTTCTCATTCACAAACAAGAAACGGTTTCTTATGTACAAAAACAACAACAATAACTCGTCGTCATAAAACTGATTAGAATATGAAATGTCGATTACATCAAAACGTTTTTAATCTATATCATCTAGTTGTTGTCAGTTGTTTTTTAGCTAAATTTTGTTTTAATAATGTTGGATGGGTATTAAAGACATGATTGGCAAAATTTTTTCGTCCATATAATATATCTGCACAAACTTTACAACGAAATAAAATATCATCTTCATCATTATGTACGGTCTAAAAATAAAAATAAAACATATGCAATTTAATCGAAATTTGTAGCATCGAATTTTTTTTCGTTACATTCTTCTTAAACATTGCTTACCTGTCTGTTTATTTTACTGTTATTTTGATTATTTATCAAACCATTTTTCTTGATGAATGTTGATGGTGTACTTGAATATTTTCTCTTTGGCGACGGTGAATCACAAATTACTATTTCATCGTCTCCATTGTTCACTGTTTCTGGTGATGTTGGATGTTCAAAACGTTCATTCTTTTCTAAATCGATAATCGCACAATCGGTTGTATTTATGACATCTCTAGTATTTTCAATATTGTTTAATTCAATCGTTTGTACGTATTCAATTGAATGATTTGAACCATTTGAAGCATAACGTTTATTTCGTTGATACGTCGATAATACTTCATTATCATCATCTTCATTTTCTTGTTCATCATTTGCTCGAATAGATTTTTGTTTACTTGTTTTTTTCTGTTTTTCTTCAACTCTGACACGTGATGATTTTTGAACTTTAGTAGTTAATGAGATGGGCGTTTTCATAACAGGAGATGGAATACGTGTTCTACGATGACGTTTATAAACTGATGTCGGTGATGTTTTTGAAACACTTGTAGAAGAAGAAGAAGATATAATCGTTGAACAACGCGTTGATGTTGATGAGACACTCGAGGGTGATAATGAACGTACTAAAAGGTAAAAATATATTATGATAAATGCAAAAAAAATGAACGATGTATCAGCTTACGCCAAAGTAAATATAGTTTTTACCATGCAGTTTAATTATCATTATAATATAGATTCGATTTTAGAAATTAGTGAAGCAATGCTTTCCAGTTGAAGTGAGGATATTTACTTACACTTTTCTTTTGACAAATTTCGTGATAACATTGACTTAGGAAATAATGGTTTTTTCGATATTGACTGACTGTTAGATGGTTGTGAAGTCTGAAAACGTTTTCTAGTAGTTACAGAAGTATCGATCTAAATAAAAAACAAATGAATTTACAATATTAGTAAAATGATGTCATATGGAGTAAATTGTAAAAGTAATTCTCTACTGAGCGATTTAGAACTGTATTTTTTTAATAAGATATTTAATCATAAGTACATGTCTGATTTTTTGAAGAGATACATAAATTGACGACTTACATTCTTCGTCTTTTTCTTACCGTATCGAATCTTCGTTTCTTGGGTGTTTTCATAAGTAGTTTTGGCGTTTCTTGTTGTTCTTCAGTTTTTGTTTTAGGTGAATTCTTGTTTACATTAGATCTACTGTGATTTCTGTTTATTCTTCCATTAAGGTGAATTGATTTGTCTTCTGCTGGAAAAATATCACTATTTTTCTTCTCTGTTTCTTGAGTAAACTGTGAATTTGACATGACAGGCACCAATTGTGTGTCCGTGGCACGATTCTGTTTCTGATATTTACGTTTCATTGCTGTTGATTGTTCATTCGACAAGGTAATAGTAGTAGTACTTGTAGGAGATGAAGGTGAAAGAAGAACAGGAACGCTGATTGCTAGTAATGGTGGACGTTTTGCTGGTAATTTGGGTACAATTTGTCCAAGACTACCCTTTGGTATCGATGTTATCTGAGAATTGAATGGATAATTTTCAATCAACTCATTATAAGATGATAAATTAGAAACACAAAGATTTGCACACGTTTTTGCTGCATGTAAACATTGTGGATGGATCGAACGTTGCTGTTGTAATTTAATTTTTGTTAATTTTTGTGATAGTCTTTTATCAATAAGACCAAATTGGTATGCATATGAAGATAATAACGAGGAAGACGCATCAAAATCGTTCATATCCTGTTCGGTCGAATACCGTTGAGATGAAAATGAACTAGAATATTAAAAAGAAATTAAATTCATCATTATACATCATGTAGAACACAAATAAAACTCACTGTAGTAGATCTTGTTGTTGTTGTTGTTGCTCATTAAAAATATTCGATGTCGATTTGAGATATTGACATGTTGCACTCACACTGAGGTTAAATTCTACAATATCGGATATCGGCGATAAATAATATTCACTTCCAAATCCGGAATCATCATCGCCCCCGCCGCCAGTTGTTGTGATTTCTGTTGACGAACAAATCATTACTGTTCTTGCTGTTGGTGTTGTTAGTGGACTATGATGAAGCTGAGGTTTTACCATCATTTCTTGTTTTGTTTTTTGTTCAGTTGTTTCAATTATTTTTATTATAGTATCCAATACTTCATAACTCATTTGGATATTTTCATCTTCTAACTGACTAATGATGTATTCCAATGCGTCACTACACGTAGGAACTTTACTATGACCATGATGTGTTACAGAATGATATTTTAATGTTCTTGAACATGGGAAAGATCTTGAACATTGAATACATTGATATAGTTTGGATGTTAAAACACCTAAAAATTTGCAATACGAGCTTATCACTTGAATAATTAGTCTCAAAAATAACGTATTTTTTCCGACGATCAGCTATATTAGTAAAAGCTTTCGATCAGACACTATCTTACCTAACGGTAAGCGTTCTTGTTCACAAGCCAATTTAGCTATGATTGGAAATTGTTTTGATGAAAATGCTACAACTAAATAAGAACTAATATAAGAATAATTTGGTAGATAACTCAATGATGTGGAAGTTGTTGTAGTGGTTGCCATTGTTCGTGTATTGTAGCGTGATGATGATTGTTCAGGAGTATCATGATGTCGAGAATGGTGATGATGTAAAGTTTTGGAATGATTTCGATGGATATGTGATTTTAGTGCACGATGAGATTTGAATACAATATGACATTGAGAACAAAGTACAGATAATGTTGGATGATGCATATCAAAATGACGAATAAGACCAAATTCACTGGCTAATAGTTTTGAACACTGAGTACATTCAATACTACTATTACTGTTATCGTCTGTGAGGGTATCTTCAATAAATTCAAATAACTAAAACAAGAAACAAAACGACACATTATTAAAGACAGATAATCTAAAGCATTTCGTCGATTAGAGCAAAACAAAGACAATATTTCTCCATAGCTAATGATTAGATAGTAGATGTTATCAGTGTTAGTTCGAATTTTACTCTGAATTCCAATACATTTTACACACTTCTATTATCGACAGATATCATTATCCTAGAAGCGTATCATCGTTCATCTATAATTATTCAACTAACTTCAGAATTATTCTGAAATATGTGCAAGAGATAATATTATGCAAAGAGGCAAAGATCAATCAATCAGTATTATCATCATAATCGATTAAATGCGGTGAAATAATATATTTGTACGAATAAAAATATATTCAAAATTAGAATTTATGAAATAATTTTAAAAAAATCTTGATTATAACCTGGGAAATATTAAAAATTTAATACTACAATAATACTGTGCCAGAGTTATCATTTTAAGTGCAATCGAAAAAAACTTTAAAATCTAAGCAAAAAATTGAGAAAAAGACAATCGCTCTATTGGATGGAGTGGAGCTCAAATATTTCTATAATGCATAGTGCGCAATATGTCAAGTTAAAGAAAAATATATATTAACTAACGGACTTTTTAATGTTAATCAAGGAGGTATATAAAATTTTGCCATTTATGTGTCGATGAATTTTGTTAGGAATTAATTACTGCCTAATACGCATTCATACTAATAGTGAATTTAACTTCTGGTACACACTTGTCTAAAGACCTTGTTACAAAGTTGATAAACGAATGTGTTTTCATTATAAATCAACTATATATATAGAAATGCATGCATTGTTTTTGAAGAAGAACAAGCTTTGTCTAGCTGCAGAATTACTCAAAGAATAAACTGATCCATTTTATACTTCTATTTTGAGATAAATGATGATTTAACTGTCAAAAAGTTGGTATGAATTAGTTAATTAAATATCAAGAGACAAGTGATATATACAGGGCAACACTTGAGTTTGTTGTGCATAATTTCAACTTGTCTTCTAAACTTGTGTGAATTTTTTCTATACAAAATCGATTAACATCTTAAACAAAGTGCACCAAAATCACGTGCATCAACTGTTCTATTAATGATTAAACTAAAAGTTCAATCGTTTATGAGAAAAAAGCTATTTGTTACATAGAAATAAAATTCCATATACGCAATAATGTTCCATACGTGTGTAATTTTCATTCATATTCCACACACTGGTATAAACAAAATCCAAAATTTCTTGTAGTCATAACCCCACTATATAATGGAAAAACTCGACGATAACAACAATATTAGAAAGGTAATTATTTCTAAATTGTATACGTTTAGTAGATATCGAATTTTATATTGGATTTCAACTGTTTTCAATATACCCACATTTAACTGAGACATATGTTAGATATTTCTATCACTTCAACACACACAACAACATGATATATAGCAGCAGAAAAAGAACGAAAAAAAGAAAAGCAAATGAAGGAATTGTTGTTACATCTATAATAGATAGGTTTGTGATCTTTGACAAAATCAATCTGATGATTATATCGTTGAAATAAATTGTAATAATAGATAGACAATATGATTTTTCACAATAGGAAAAGAGAGATAGAAACAGATACATTCAATATACTAGCAGTAATGAATTACTATGGTGACTGAAGAACTCTTATTTTATCGACCGATCTCAAATAAAGATCTCAGAGAAGAATATTTTTCAAGAAAAACAATTTTCTAGTATGTTTTGTTAAAACAAACATTAGTAGTCTTTGGAACATGTCCTATTATGATGAAGTATTCTATTCTTGCAAAAGTTCGTTAGGAAATACTAATATTTAGCCTATCAGTAACAAACTATTAGATCTTTACAGTATTAACAAGGTGTATGATGTTGACATTATAACCTCATATTTCGTATTTTTCTACTTCGAAATTAGTGCTATCTTTGAATATCGTTTTAACAACAATAATCTGCTGTGCAAACTAAAGAAAAAAACAATATACACACACACACAATAATATACCAAATTGACGCATTGGCAATCACAGTACTGGTTCGTTGTTGATACTTCAATGGTAAAATTGGCATAAATTGTTGATGTCCTATGTTTTGTTGATGCCTGTAAGATATATTGACTAAGACAATAATAACTCTCTCTTCTGACTCAACTATTCACCAAAATATTTTTCAGCAACCGGTATTATAGATATATATGATTAAAATAGAGCTTACTTCTAATTACTATTACAAAGTTTTTCTTTAATGATGAAGTTTCACAGTATTAGACTCAAGTATAATTTGACTTCTGAAAATACACGGACAAAATGGCGCGATCTACGGATCATCAAAGAAGACAAAACGAGTTTCTAAAGTAAAATTTCGTTTCTGCTCATCCGTATATTTGTTTTGACATGAGCATCCTATGCTACTACTACTTCAACTGTGATATTTACACAATCAGTGTTTCTATCATGCTTAAAAATGTTTTATTGTGGACAATGAAAACTCATATCTTAACACGTCATTTTGTAGTTATACTAACATGACATTTTGATATGTCCTACTCTATGCACAAGACAATTGTCGATGGTGTATAAATTATAAAGATTAAAAATAATATAGATAATTTCGTGGTTGTTTCTTAGACAAAATAATTAAAACTTAAAAGTTTAATATAATGGGTCGATTACGAGACTTTTTTCTATTTTTGCTTATCTGTATTATCATATAACAATACACAGCAGATGTGTTTAACTAATTAATTCGCAGATCGCTACGTGGTGAGATAATTCAACCAACAATAATTAGTAATTTGAGAATTAATAACTGACCTGGTTTGACTGTTGATTTGATGTCTTTTCAATATTACTTGTTTGTCGTTTTGTATCCCTCTTTCTTACGGTTGTTGTTGTTGTTGATGATGATGATGACGATTCATCAAATGATAAAAAACGATTGACTAACGCTGGTTTGTCAATAGATTGATTACCACTTGATTCTAAACTTGCTGTTGTTGATGATGCGGAGCGCGTTATAGTATTGTTCAAAAACATAATTCATAATAATATATTAAATTAAATGGAAAGAAATATATATCATCAGACAAAATAACAATAACAACTTACAATTTAATATTATCCTAGTTTGCAATGCCGTAGACAACAACAATCTATGAACAAAAACAATAAAGATTAGATGGTATCAAAGTATGATGTTAGTTTATTTCTCTTTTGAACTTAACTTCCCCATCCACTCCATATTAGAGAAGTGTTACAATTTTTAAATTATTTTGTCCAATACAACAGCTTCATTTTAGAAAACATATTTGCAGTATTACAATGTGTACCGAGCTAATTAAAAGCCGCTTATAGTAATCTCAGAAGCGCATTCAGGATAAAACTTCACGTGAAATATGCCAACTATTGTGAGATGCCGTACAAACTTTGCATCGTAAACTAATTAACAATGCGTTTAATGGTTAGGGACACTAAGTGAAAAACACAATAGAGCTCAGCTAAGATAAGTCATATGAAGTAACAACACTCAAGTTCTAAGAAATTCTTTGCAATAGTAAAAACAGAAAATGGGAAAATAATTTTTTTTTATAGGCTTATTCTCAATTTAGTACCTAAAGATAAAATAAGTTCTATTCGTTACACCATCATCTCACGTTACCTTAGAAGCTTTTTGGAGCTGCTACGAAGAAAGACTAGCATCTTTGCTTGCTGATAGCAACTGTAAGTACGTAGATTACACTTAATTCGGAACTAACTGGTGCATGAGTGTTTTCTGTTCTCGAACATTACTAATTCAAGTTGAACAACAGCAAATACGTCCAAAATTTGTTTTGCTTCCTACAGCTAAAACGTAAATAATTGAGCCTTTTCAAGAACTGTGAGCAGAAATTGTATAATTCACTAAAGCGATTAATTTGTACTTCGATACAATCTACTCTAGAAAAGTATGTGAAATTCTCGTTCATGTTCGGTTTTTGTGTATAGTAAATAAACAGTCTTAAGCATGACAGTCAACGATAAAGACAGTCCTTATAAGTGGACCAATCATACAGCAAGAAAAGCAAAACACGTAAGGAGAAAAAATTCGAGAAGAGAATACACAAACAAATGAACCTTGTTTTGAATGAATAGTCGAACATCCAGTTATATTACTGGTAAAAAAATATACACTAAGAAACTTCAGGAAAAACATGCTGCTGTGAATCTACTCCATTACTGATGATGCTGGAGGAAGAAAACATAAACAAGTTTTTATCTGCTAAAATTGTTTCCTCTTTTATATGACATATTCGATATGAATGCGTACTATTCAAGCGAAACAGTAGTTAATAAGAGATCAAAGTTTGAACTAAAAGTCTCTTCTGATCAAGCAGCAAATACCCAGCATAGTACATACTCGATCATTATGCAAAGAAAACATCATTTCTCTATTTTTGTCAAGTATATCCTGAAAGTCGTGGAACAGAATCGAACCATCTACTGCTAATGTCTCTTGAAATATATTGCTGAATATAACTTCTCTATATAACTTTAATGATCTTTTCGTTTTCTCTTCATATACCTGGTATTTCTTTTAAACTAACATCAATTAATCAATTAATACCCCAAAGATGTTAGCTTAAGTATAAAAATTGAGTAATTTCAAAAACATGATGGTCGTCTCTAAAAGAGACTCTGAAAAACTTGTTTTTCTTCTCTAGCTGATGAAGTACAGATATCTCGAGGAAAACTTCATCTGATATATAAACAATCTGGAGATCTGTATGCAACTTGCATTTCTTTTACAAAGTTTAACTCTGTGATACTTTCTGCTACCTCCATATATGAAGTTACAAAGCCAATATATAATGAAGTCTTTGAAAATGAAAGGAGTAGAAGAGCATAAAAGAATTAACGTAATAACTCTGAATACAGTAGCAATGAGAAAAAACACTAATGTCAAAGAACTCTTAACAGCTGAGATTTTTATGTACAGATGCGTTTCATAAGAACTTTTGGAGAAAAATGTGTTTGCAAAAGAAATACGAAATATCGTGTATCAAGACAAAGTGCTATAAACTATACTGCTCAACGTCACACTTAGAATGCTGCACATGATAAACTTGCGTACAAAGGAAGAGCGCCGTTTATATGATGAAAATGTGTACAAATATTATGTGTGCTCTAAATGCAATTACACGCCTGAGAAATGACTACATGTAGTGAACTGAAACACACCCTTTAACTTTGATACAACATGAAAAAATGATCTAAACGTTCAATGCATTACTTTAACTCGATAGTATAGACAGATATTCTCTTGCTTACAAATCTGCTGTTGTGTTTAAAATTAAAATAACGGAAAAACGATGTTCATCCAATGTTATCGTGACCTCCGTTTAATAAGTTTTGGTTTACTGATAACGACATCTCTCAAACGCACACTTACATTCTTTCTATACCTTCTATTCATCTACAACTTCCAAAAGACAAAAAATATAAAAAAACAAAAAAAATTATCGACTAACATCTCCACAACTCTACTATAGTTTTTTTTGTATTTGAGTTGCACATAAGTATCAAAAAGAGGACCAGAAATGTGGAACAATGTTTATTTAAAGTTTTGATATTCTTGACACCTGAGACACGTTTTGCGTTGGAACCTAGCACGCTTGAAATATTAGTACTTGCTATCACAGAAAAATATGCAAAAAAAATCAATCGATAAATGAAGAGCATATATATATATATATGTACATACAGCAGTGTGGTGCACAATATAATATAAGTATAAAAAAAAAGGCCTATGCCTTTATTTTGTGCGGCAGGATGTATGTCTCGTTCTAAATACAATTTCTGTTAATTTTTTTTCAACTTAACTACTACTGCTTAGATGGAAAAAAAAAAATAAGCCAAATCTTACGTATATATCTAAATCATCAAGAACATGGAGACTGGATTATATGTGTACACTTTTCTTCCACTTTTCGAGTATACATATCTTCTGAGTCAAGTGTTTGTATGATTAACTGAACTGAGAATATTAGTTTAGTTTTACGTCCTCTTAGTTTGATGTAGTTAAAGATTAATAAAAGTGTTAGAATTTACATGTTTAATATTACATGTATAAAATTATCCATCCATAAATCACTGTTTTTGGATAAGTAAAAGATGTCGCCGATAGTATAATTATAAGTTAACAACCATATTTATTTTTGTTCGTTCTGAACCTCAACAGTGAATAAAACTACGTCGATGATCTTATAATACTACGTTTTTTTTATTCTCTCCTAGTATATACGTTTAGTGTAAAAAAGGCAAAATGATACACAAATACATCAAATACTATTTTCTTGTTGGCAACTATAAGTATAATAATCCATGGAGATTTTGTTGTACAGCATCAACAAGTTGTTGAAACATTCTCATCCAGCACCTATCAAACTCTTGATCTAATCGAAAAATCATTTAATTGATCGAAAACCAAAATATTTTAATAAGAGCGAAAAAATTATGACTTGTGATTTGTTCTAATGCTTTAAATACATATATGTGCCATAACATACACATTTAGAAACTCTCAAATAAATCAACAATTCTACGTTTTGTTAACATTTACGCAAAATTTTCACAAAGTATATGCATATCATATTTTCACAATATTTTTTAAATTTTCATAAAGTTTAATTAAATTAGTGCTAACCAATCGTGCCATCAATAGCACTCGTGCCATGGTGACTTCTTAAGATATTCATAAAAATTTGAACTTTTTTTCAAAATAATGATACAATCACCTAAAGTATTATCTACTGAACGAAGAGTACAGCATTCATAATAACTCGTTACGTCTTTTTGATGAAACGGATATTCATAAAATTCGAATACATTTTAGTATATCATTTAATAATGTTTTATTTGAATATTGCAAAGAAGTACAGTTATAATAGACTTTTATTGAACAAAAGCAATTGATTTATTTTTGGTAGATAGTATTGACCATCATTTCTATAACTGTCAAAATTCATTAGCAAAATATTTTGTTAAGAATGTTTGAATAAAATTCCTTTGTAAATATACTTTTTTATTTTTTGCTGTAATATTATAATATTTAATTTTCTCATTTGATAAAAACCAAAAAAGCCTTTGTTGCTACACTAGTTGAGATAAAGAAAAGAGAGTTGAAATTTTCAGCAAAATATAATTATTTAAACTTAGATGATCAAATAAAAAAGTATATTAGATAAATATTTTGACCGGCAGATCACTATGATAATAAAAAGCTTTTTTTTAATAAAACAAACAGTTTTGAAACAATATAAAAGTTTTACATATTGTACAAATATTTCATGAATTTATTTTGAGTTCATTATTATTCATCATCATTATAGTTTGTTGTACTAGGTTTTTAACTGTTCACTTAATGATATATTTCATGTTCTATTTTTACGTTGTTAGCCTACAATACAAACTTTTTTCACTATATACATAGGTATAAATAGAGTATAATTTTCATTGTGTTCTCAACATGTAAAATATGCAATTTCGAGGGAAACTTTACAAATATTGATACATTAAATGAATATTTAAAAGAAAATTCTGTATCAGAATTTCACATAGAACAGATATTTAATGGAACGAAGTGGACTTATAAATGTTTATCATATAAGAAGTATCCTGATTGCGATTATCATTTAATGATATGTTGGTATATACGCTTCTGCTAAAACGCTCTCTCATTTAAACCGTCAGAGAATTCATTTTCTAATAAATTACTTTTTCGTGCTCTAAACAATCAAAGATCGTACTCTTTTCAATTTAATTCCGTGCTCAATACCAATGACTGTTTTTGTCAAATAAAGATTTTTTTTCAACATTCAACTGATTGAAGTAGGCGATGTTTGAATTTTGTTTCATGCGATCGGTATTCAATTAACTGATAAAAGAAAAGAAAAAAAATAATTGCTTGTTTATTTGATAAGAATTCATTTGTATCTTCACCTTAATCTCTTGTCTTCTTTCTTAATCTCTATATTCCCTATCTATAATCATCCAGAAAAAAATAATTTTATTACATAAAATCTATATCATCATCATCATCCCCACCGACTACCACACCATCTCCGCCGTACAATTCCAATTCTGTTCTTTCAGCTCTCAATTGCGGTTTTGCAACTTTGTTTTTTTTCAATTTGAATTTTCTTTCTCGGTCTTCTGACAGTTTTTTTGATTGTATTCCTTGCAGAGTAGTTGTTAGATGTCGAGTTTGATCAATAGATAACGGTTCTGATAAACCAAATAATAATTTATCTAAAAGGAAGAAAAAGTTAAGTTAAAAAAGACGCTAGTGTTTGAAACAATATAAGTTACACAGTTTTAAAAAGATGTGTTCTACCCCCTCGTCTGTAAACCATGATTATCTGTCACAGTTGTATAATTAATTAATTTCCTGTGCAACTTTCTAATGTTACATATGATCGTATATTCTCAGCTTCAGATTTATCTTAATCCAGGTATTAACTATTATCGAAATCTGCGATGATTCCAGAAATGAAAATAGGAAACCTTTTGAGTGATGAAGTTTTCTGGAAAACCATATAAGTATCCGGTATAGTTCTAACAGTTTTCTCGTCTCTAAGTGGCCTGTTCATGTCAAACATATACATCTGAAAATTTCTAGATCATTTGTATCGATTTTGAGTGAAATATGAATTTTATAGTTTTGAATGAAAATAGCCAAGAACAGATAATAAAAAAAACAGTATTTCAGCACGTTTTTAAGATTTTCTCAATAAAAACATTGCCACGAGAGTTAACATAGTCGATTACCGATATTCCGTTTTATTCTGAAGCTGTCAGACATTATCAAACACGAGCCCTGAGACCTGTAGGAAATCTAATGCTACTCTAGAACTATTAAAAAAATCAGGAACCCGCTCAACTGCCAGTTACTCATAATCCAAGGCCATTCAAAAATACTCCAGTCCACTGTTTTTTTCTACCGATGATAAGATGAATTGTTCGGCGGGCTATCAACTACCGTCCTTTCTTCCTCAGACTTTCTCAGTGCAGAGAAAAAACATGATGAACGCATTGTCTGCTTCACATACCTAAAAAGTCTAAATAATGTTCTGATTTTGCTAATAAATTAAGCCTATTATACAGTCGGAATGAATAATTCGTAAAGTCCTCTTTCGTCAATAAATTTGTGTCATCTAACGAATATTTATCCCCACCACTAACAAATTCATTGACCATTTTTAATTTTGACTCTTCTCTTGATAATTCATTACGTTTACTTATTTCGGCTAATTCATCAGCTGTATAAATACGTTCTGGCTCTCGTACTAAATCATCGTCGCTATCGCCTGCTATTTGCTTCTTTTTAGTTTTATTTTTAGTAGTTGTTGCTGTGGATTTCTGAGTTGTTTCTGTATTGATTTCTGGTTTTTTAGGCTAAAAATAATAGAAGAATTAAAGATGATTCTCGACCAATTCGACAGAAATAGCTATTGATTGGATTTTGTGAACTTTTGTTTCGTATACTTGTATTTAATTTATTAATCAAACACTGTAATATCAATACTCAGATTGGTTGGATCTATAGATCAATTTTTAAATTTGTTAAATTACTGATGAAGATATGTTATTATATTGCAGCATCTAATGTTCGGTCAATAAATTAAATACAAGTATACGAAACAAAAGTTTACAAAGTGCAATCGAAACTTCACTATTTTGTACCGCGTTAAATTGGGGAAATAGTTATTCATACATCTTCATACTAACGTCAAAAAATAACAAAAAACTGAACATACCTTTTCTTCTAGATCTGCCTCCCAATCATCGGGGATATCGTCAATATCGCCTTTAAAAATTTGACCACCAACAGGTGCTTGCCATTCAGACATGATTCCTCTTATTTGAACTATAAAATTTAGTTGTTAATAAGATCCTGACAACTCTAAAACAATAATATTGAAAAAAATAATTAATCCAAATATAAAAACATTCATTGATCAAAATGTCTAGTTCTTCTTTCTACTATATAATCGCCCCTAACCCATCTTACGTGATTAAAATATTTTCAAGATAAAAGATGTTATTTCCTTTGCAATTTTTGCTTACAACTGTTTTTACTATAAACGGGTTACACACATACGTTAAGGGACTCCTCTTATGTAATAATTAGCGGTGATGCATAGAAATTCAAAACTGCAAATAGCGGCCAAAAATACTAGAAGAAATAGAAAATTTCTCATTCGAGATAGGGTGAAATTAGTACAGAAATCGTCACAAAGTGTAAAATCGCCAGCAGCACCATCAATGCCCCGCTTGTTTGGATATAGCCGCTGCGTTGGAGAAGGAGAAAGTCCTCATCGTCAGACATCGAAAGGTGCGATTTGGATTAACGTCTTCCCAAGGAGGAAGGAGTCAATAATTCAATGATCGACGATCATGGATCAATGACTGTTAAAAAGATGACTACCATTGATGACCTAGGTACTGAATGATTTTCAAAAGTACCGAACCCTAACTTCAAAATTCGCATGTTATACGATCATTTTTTTAATCTACGGTTGGCAGGCGCTTTATGGTGGATGTTGCGATAAGTGGTCATCGGTTGAAAACATATTTTTATTTTATAGTCATCAATTATTCGATTATAGGCACTCCGGAGAGAAGTGAAAAGTCTGCGTAATATGATGATCATGACATTCAAAAGCGACCGATAAGATAAAATGACATCCTCCTAGAGATTCTATCCATTAAGAATGCCTCGAAGTGAAAATTTTCACAAAAATTGTGTAATAAATTGAGAAATGGATCACCGAAGCTTCCCACATGACTCATTCATTCTGAAAAACATGAACGACGAGTGTCCACTATTTACCGCCTAAAAAAAGAGAATAAAGTCTCAAAATTATCGGTGGAGATGCGTCAGGAGCTCAAGTTAAAAGCAAGTCTCCACAATCAACGTAATTACTTTTTTTTTTATTACGTTTATTGACACATTTTATTCCCAGCGTTTCCTTTTTACCCATTTGATCACAAATTATTTTTCTACTACGTTCTACACTAGTCCAGATCCACGATATCGTTTATTTGGTCTAATTGGTTTGAATCTGAACCAATCCGAGCCGTTTTTTTTGTCATTACCGATTTGTTTATTTATTTATGTATTTTCATAGCGCTTATTACTTGATTTAATAACGAGAAAGGAGAAACATCAAAGCGTTCGAGTTTTAATTTTAGACTAATAATTAGAAGAGATAGAATTTTTATTCTCTCGCTTGCGATTCCACAACCGTTGGATTTAAAGAACTAAAACTACGTAATTCTATATAAGTAAATAGTCATTTTCTTACAATGTTAGTTTATTATTCAAATAAATTGACTACTGATTTATCAATTTCTGTCTATTATACCATTATGTCCACAACGTCGCCAGTAACTTGTCTTCCTTTAAACTAGAAGAACAGTTTTAAATAACAAATTATTATTATAGCACTATGACAAATGCATTTTCGAATCCTAATAAAATTCAAAAAGTTATAGCGCTGTTCTCATTGATTAGTTATTGTCTCCTTTTACCTTAGATTATGAATAATTCATTATTTCGATTTACGTTTTTTATTAAACGTGCCCATCCAAAATGCACGGTATGCATGAATGTATCAGTTAGTGCACAGTTATGTTTTATTTATGATTTTCTTTTAGTTTCTCACTTTGTACCGTTCATATAAACTAAAGCCAGCTCTATCACCTATAGCATCTGATTTTAACAATTACAACACGTCATTGTTGTCGTCAAAACCTCTGAATTTATTGAAATCATCAATGAATTGGCTTAAATTACCTGCTGAAACTGGTCTATTTCAAATAGATGAATTAAAACACTCAGATGGATTTCTAATATTAGCTGAGAAGGTGTTAAAAAAATGTGAAAATTATATACAAGAATGTTTATCAAATGGTAATTGAAATTGTTTTACGATTCACGCATAAAAGAGAATGTCTTTTTGCATCTGTTATTTATATACATGGTGTTACACGTTTGTTTAGAACGTCAGCGAAAACTAGTTCAGATATTAGATGATATTTCTGATGAAATTTGTCGTGTTGCTGATTTGGCTGAATTCGTTCGTCATATTAATTATGATCAAAAATACAAACAGAAAGCAGAACAAGCTTATTTATTACTACATGGCGTAGTTCAACAAATGAATACAAATGTTCAGTTGTATAACAGAGCTAAAGAAACGTTGATCACTGACGTTGAGTCATTAGATGATACTGACAAGAGAATATTAAATTTATTTTTACAAGATTTTGAACGTTGTGGAATTCAATTATCTGATATTGAACGTCAACAATATATTGAACTCAACGACGATATTCAACATATAATTATTGCATTTAGAAATAATGCACATAAAGAATTCAATGTCAGTTTAAAACAATTACCACAAAAGGTAAGAACGAGGTAAGGATTTTAAACAGTGATTGCACTACATTTTAGATAGAGAGTATATGAAATTTATCCAAATGCGCAAAAAAAGACGCTTCTTTTATTAAAGGACATTTAGAAACTCACTTAGTTCTACACTTCATCACCCGTAAAAGAGCTACATTTTTTTCATCATAAACAATTAGGATTTTTGAACAGTTTATAAAAGTCGCCAAATTTTTGCGTGAATTACGGTCTTTTCTTTGACAAGTTTTGTTTTGATTTGTTCATGTTTAGATTTGATCAAAGTTCTAGTTCTTTTGTGATCTCGTCTGGAATATCTAACGATGATGATGAATTTGTTCGAGAATTTTATTACAGAACATATTTTAGTAAAGATAATGAACAAGAACAAAATCTCGATCAGTTGTTGAGAAAACGGTAAGAGTTTGCACGCGTATAAATATTTTTCTTTCAAGCTCTCCTAAAATTTCTTATCAAACAAACTGTGTATCAGTAGATGTTGAAATCATTCACAATTAATTAATAATACCATTTTATTTCGTTTTATTCAGATATGAACTAGCCAAATTGTGTGGTTTTCCGTCCTACGGTCATCGTGCGATTGAAAATATGTTATTGTCAGATCCTCATACCATTGAGAATTATTTAGAACTTATCATGGAAAAAATTCGTCCATATGCTGATTCAGACATTGCATTAATGAAAAAATTTAAAGAAATAATGGGTTCTCAACAACCTGTTATGCCGTGGGATGTAAATTATTTAGAATCACATTTCAAACATCATCTGTACGTTATCTAACTTTTTACTTAGCGCAACATCTTTGAAATTAATAGCTTATCTTGTTTAGATTAAAGTTGGACAGTAATGAATATAAACAGTTTTTTTCACTAGGATCGTGTATGGATGGATTAAATTTAATTTTTAATAGTCTTTTCAAGTGTGTATACGAGGTCCTTAGACTAGTATATGAAGTACGAAATTTTATGCTATTTTAGTGTTAATTTAAAGAAAGTTCCAACATTAAACGGTGAAATTTGGCATCCATCCGTTATCAAGTTGTCTGTCACACATCCAACAGATGGAATTATAGGCTATATTTACTGTGATCTTTTTCAGCGGTAAGTATATCATAGATTATTAAATTAGATATACGAGATGCTGAAAATTCGACAATTCAGAAGGTTTTTATTTTTACATTTTTTATACATGGTTGGATAGAGCTCGTCGATCTGGAGTGGAAAATGTGCTTTTGATGTTTGAAAAACTTTTTCTATATCGAAAAAAATTGAAAAATTTCGAAAAGCCCTTCAGTTTCAAAAAAATTCACATCTTTTTCTTTTTCGTTCTTCTAACTTTTCAAAAGTATTTTTTTGCAGATTCAGCATCAAAACAAAAAATATCATATTCAGTATCAGCGTCAGAAACTGGACTGAATAATTTTTTCAAAATTTTTGGTGAAAATCTCAGCAGTTTTTAGACGTGAAAATTCAAAACAAATTAAAGTAGTCGGATAGGAGAAAAAAGTACATCATCGACTCAGTTTTTGATGCTGATTTTGAATATGATATTTTTATTGTATAAAAAAATGAGTTTTGATGGAGAAAATTGAGAGTTACGGACAGAATTCCGATTTTTTCGAAAAAATGAATTTTCTTAGTGATGAAACAAAATAAAAAAAATCAATTTATACTTTTAAAGCACGTTCAATGGCGGTTCTGATGAAGTAAAAAAATCGACTTCATCTCTCCACAAAAAAACTAGATAGGTTTGAAAAATTATTTTTTTTTACTCTTTAACTCTCATCCCTCCAGTCCAGTGGCACTGGAATCAGGTTACCTCATTGAATCGGTATCCAAAGATACCGAGACAATGAGCATTAAATAGCTTGTCCAAGACTATCATGCGATCGCCGGTGCCGGAATTCGAACTCCGTATATTTGAAGTACGTTGTCTGCCCACTGGCCGACTGTTTACGCTGCTCAAAAATTATTTAGGAACGTTTTACAGGGTCTATACTGGATAGTACTTTGGCTTCAACTTCGATCAAGCATTGCTGTCATACTTAGTTTTGGATGCTGAATCTGAAAAAAATACTTTTGAAAAGTTAGAAGAACGAAAAAGAAAAAGATGTGAATTTTTTTGAAACTGAAGGACTTTTTGAAAATTTTCAATTTTCTTCGATATGGAAAATTTTTTTTCAAACATTAAAAAACACATTTTCCTCTCTAGATCGACGAGCTCTATCCAACCATGTATAAAAATGTAAAAATAAAAACCTTCTGAATTTTCGAATTTCCGACACCTTATTTCTTACAAACTTTCACTCATTCGCTTACCCTGTTTGTTACTACTGATTTTTTTCAGTGATGATAAAACACCAATTGATTGCCAATTTACAATTCGTTGTGGACGACGTTTATCCGATGATTCTTATCAAATACCTATTACTGTTATTCATTTAAATTTACCCTCAAGTGACGATAAAAATATTCCTCCACTCATAACATTATGTAAGTTGTAGAATATTGGATAGTAGTACGTTCAATATTGTTCTTTTTCAATTTCCAGCAATGGTTGATAATCTATTCCATGAATTTGGACATGCAATGCATTCGGTGCTTGCACGAACAAAATATCAACACGTTTCGGGTAATGTTTGCAAGACGTTGACGGAATAAGAACGCCTTCAATTTTTTTTCCTCTATTTCAGGCACTCGATGTTCAACTGATTTTGCTGAAGTACCATCTCAATGGATGGAGTATTTTGTTTATGAACCTCGTGTTGTTGAAAAGTTTGCCAAACATTATGAAACAGGAAAAACAATTTCATACGATTTGTTAAAGCGATTAGCTATCGGACATAAATGTTTTCAAGCGCATAAAATACAGACACAGGTTGGTTAATCTTTTGATGCTTGGAGATTTACTTGAAATTTCTACTAAATATTTTTAGACACTATGCTCGATGTTTGATAATTCATTTCACAAATCCTATCCATTATCTCAACCACCAGTCAAAATCTATTCAGATCTCGTCAAAAAATACTCCACATTACCTTACATTCCTGAAACGTATCCATATTTAAAATTCTATCATTTAGTTGATTATGGTGCTAGATTTTCTTCATATATCATCTCGAAATCTGTTGTGAGTAAAATATGGTATGACTATTTTGCGAATGATCCTCTATCATCAACGTCCGGCGAAAGATTGAAAAATGAGCTTTTGTCATGGGGTGGTGAAAAAAATCCACAAGAATTAGTGACAAAAATGTTCGATAAGAAAAAACTTTCGATTCACGATATGACAAATGCAATTGTAGATGAAATAAAACAGTGTGAAAAGGAGAGAAATCAATTTCTTTCCCAAATTTAGTGAATTTCTTCTTACATTGTATTTAGTTGTATTTGCTTTTGTATTTAGTTTTTTTGATAAAATAAAACTATAAATATCCAGTCATCGAAACGAGTAAATCCTAAAATATCTTATATATTCATCTGCAATGTTAGTTTAAGATGCATAATTGTGTACCCTCTAAAAAAAATATGTCATTTCTGAGTCGATAATTCCACAAAAATATGGAAAGTTCTTGGGAAAATCTCAATCTTGTTGCGAAAACTGGATGAGTAAACATGGAAATCCGTCAAAAACTCGAAGAAGAATATTCTACTTGTGGATGATGAACATCTACAACCATCATAAACATATTAGTTAGACGATAAAGAACTAGTCGAAGAATAGTCAAGAAATAAGTGCGATCGTAGAATTTGATGCTCTTTCTTAATCAGTTTCACCCATTATATACCAGTGAACAATATTTTACATATCAAGGTAATGCTGTATATCCTTATCATTAGTTAAACACTACAAGAATAGGAGTGGTAAACTTGCCACCTGTTCTTCGGTTATCCAATCAGCCACTAAAACTGATTAGGGCTTATTCCTATTTGTCATAATATTTCTCCTCTGCTTGGAGCTTTTCACAATGCCGCTGAGTATAATGAATAAAGCTTTCATGGATTTTTACAGTGGAAACAAGTAAACAACGGAATAGAAACAATGTTGTAATGAAACTACAAACTATACGTCGTCAAGACACCATGACTGACACGTAGAATGAAATGTACAGTACCATGGGATGTCAAAGAGTCATTAAAATCTGCGTGAATGTATTTATAAAACTAAGATAGGTTTTCAGGAATTATTTATACTAGTGTATGGACTATAGTGAGCTTCATCATCGTTAAAATCGGATAAAGATGGTGAAATGATGACGAAAAATTCGATGACTGAAAAACGATATTGAAAACTGCTTCTTCTGTGGACAATTAAAAAAATTAAAGAAAGGAATCGTATATAGTACACTCTGTTCTGTTAGTTCAGCGATAGATTTTTATAAGATTCAACATTCAATTTCTAATCGAGGTATAATTTTTCCCTTCAAATTTTTAGGATGATATCGATTTATAAAAACAATTGAAGTATTTAAACAGGTTTGAAAATGTAATCTATGAAGAACGCAACAAGCTTAGACAAGGTTTATAATAGTAAGAAAAACCAAATTCATTGATTCTAGCTGTTTTTTAGAAAAGACAAACGCTAGTTTTATATAATCCTAAAAAATTACAAATTCTACATTGATATGGATTGAAATGTATTAAAACGGAAATGATGTATCTGATTGTATAGGAATAAAAATACAAAAGAACCAGAAAGGATCGTTCATGATATCTAACCACACATATAAAATTATAGATAAAATCGGTGCCTTGTTCTAATTTTTTTTCGGAGCTTCTGGATGTGTATATCGATGGTGAGCAATTCTTGCTAGTTGTTGTGCTCCGACCATACCCATGAGAAAATTAATTCCTCCGAGAAAATAATTTTTCGGTATGATAACCATGCAATAGCGCGTCCAAATTAAACCGGTGGCACATAATGAAATTGATTGATTTAATGATAATTTATCTGCTGGTCTTAATAAGTCACCAATTCCGGCTGCTACTAATGAACTTTTCATAACAGGAGACCAAAAATGAACATATTTTGGACCAGCTAAAAACAAAAACAGGATTTCAGGACGAAAGTGCTTTGAAATCATCAGCTGTGCTCATGCTATGGTACAATTGAGGCTAAACGTCTAAATGTAAAATAGGCAGTGCACGTTTTACTATGGGAAATCTTTTCTCGCAGATGGAACATAAACAGTTTGAAAATTTGACATAATACAAATGTCCCAGACTGATTAGGTAAGAATAGGTGTGGCTGGATATCGTAGATAGATCAATGTAGTTACACCAGTGATTCATCTAGTGGATGAGCCGGATGGGCGGCGCCCACTCAAAAGTAAACAGTTGATTTCGTTTTTGCAAAACTTTTTTAGCCAACAGTCCCTCCAAAAATTTCAACCGCCGCACTCGAAAAACGAAACCTAGATAAAATACTGAGTTACACAACATTTATTACTGTCTGATAATTTTTAATAACTTAATCGACCGACTTCCTAGAAAGATAATTAGACTTACTTAGGTCATACCAAAAGTACAGACATATGCAGATAAAAACGCCACAGAATAAAATTAATCAAGATTTTACTTCAACAACTATTTGAGCTAGTAGTCATGAATACCCACGCACAATCAATTTATTTCAAGGTATTTGTTGGATATTTTTTTCGAATCATCTGTGATTAAAAAGTTCATTGTGTTGATTACGGCACTGAATGCCATAATTAGGGGTCGTTTGATTGATTAAGTTTATCAATTAGATAAAGCACCTGAAAACTACATAGTACTTGGACCCGTAGAATAAGGTGGGTGTAAAATTATGACACATTCTGGTTCGGGATAGTGAAAACATTTTTGGGTATATTGTCGGACGGTGTCATTATGAACTTTGATGTTATGAGTGCTATGTGATAATCTTTGCCTTCTCATTTCATTGCCAAGTAGTTTTAGGAAATTATTGATATAATATTGATGATGAACAGTCTGCCCCCTTTGGGTATTTGTCTATTTTTTAAGATTATTTGACTAGTTGTTTGAAGAAAAGACACGAAACAATGTTTTGAACCTAATTTGCTACATCAAACTACAGCAGATGCAGATTCTTCGCTTATAATCCTTCTGCTTCAAGGAATTTTAGTTCATTTATGTGTCACAAATCTAGAACTTGTCACCTACTACCGTTTCATGTACTCGCTATATTTCCTTAGTCGGCCGTGTCCAACAAAATTTAATCGATCAAAATAGTTCCTAATTATGGCATTAAGTGCCGTAATCAACACAATGAACTTTTTAATCACAGATGATTCGAAAAAAATATCCAACAAATACCTTGAAATAAATTGATTGTGCGTGGGTATTCATGACTACTAGCTCAAATAGTTGTTGAAGTAAAATCTTGATTAATTTTATTCTGTCGCGTTTTATCTGCATATGTCAGTACTTTTGGTATGAACTAAGTACAAGAACAGAATAGTTGTCTAACTTACCCGGATGGTCCCACTTGACCATTTGTTTCATCGATGGAGATAAGACACGTTCTCCAACTCCAATCAATCCACGATAAACATCAGATAATATAAACATTGTTGGTTTTGCAGAGTATAAGTTTTAATAACTAAAGAAAATTAGTGAATCAACGTGCCGAAACATTAAAACTATCGATTATTGTTTTGCTACAAACCTGCTATTGCGTTCAACGATGCGTATTTAATTTAGACGACCAATTTTGCTCTAAGTGAAACGCAGTAAACGTGTTGTCGCTGTCGTTGTCGTCTATTTCTTTTTTGTTCCGTTCTCTTGTTTATAAACGCATAACTGAAATATTAATAATAACGTGGCTACATAGATATATATAACTATATGAACTCAGCTTTCTTTTTTCTCGCTTTTTTTTCTCCTGAATCGACCAAAAAAAGTATAAACAAACGTTTTACGTTGTTTAGTGCACACGAAAAGATCTCATAACGAAAAGATCTCATGAGTTATTAGTTTCTTTCTGCAAACAAGACATTGATGGGAGAATGTGTGACGAAGGCAGTTAGGTGGAAAATCTACACATCCTATAGAGAATCTAAATTCATTATTGTAAATCCAGACGAAGTACAAAAAATGAATTCATATCTATGAAAACAAAAATTTTAAAGCTGTACATGTACAATAAAAGCTTAATATACAGTTTAGGGTTACATGCATGAGTAGATGATAGAGAACAAAAGCGGACTATTTTACTAGTAATCCAGTCGAATTTAGTCTAGTCTGCTGAAAAAAGATTCTAATTTGATAATATTTTTTCTGTCACCACCATCACCTCACTAAGGATAAGATGCATTTTCTATTATTACGGCAAATATTTTTATTTTTTATCATGTAAAATGTTCATTGATGTATTGATGTAAAGTAGAGCCCTGCAGATTATGCCCGTCCTATTTTGTTCTGCAGAACAGTACACATTTAAGTTGCAGATTACGTCATCCATGTACTGCTATAACGTGTAGAAAAAATGTTATGAAAGTAATCTATAAAAAATCAGAGAATGAGAGTAGATTTACTGGTAAATACTTGTCTTGTGTAACAGGTAGTTCTTTTGACTGAAGGGAAGGATCTTATAAAATAAATTGTCTGTTTTGTTTGCCGACACAAAACAACAAGCAAAAGGACATGAACTGTATAAACGAAAACTTTATAATTACAGATTCAGACATGAAAACTAAAAACTAAAAAACAACTTACGAAAGGATCCGCGAGAAAACCGATCTGCTAAGGGAATAGTGGACGAAGCTAAAATTTTTTTTTTCTGTTAGTACTCTAGTTCGAAAGAGCTCATCGAAAAACTAAGAAATTCAAGATATCTCGCCTTCGTATGGCACTGTTCATGAATTAGGGGGTCTTAACTTTTCAGTCATCACCAGAAGCTCCATTTGTGGATGAAATCAATGTTTCGTTAATATCTCAGAAACAGCTTGATCCTTACGGCTCGTTCACATCTCATATGAAAGAGAAATGTTTGGTCTACCAAATCACTGCAAAAAGGTGCAGTAAAAGGTAACATCCTGGGCGGCCACAAGGCAAAAACTGGAAAAATCGCTTTTTCTCAACTACACGACCTTTCTTTGCAAAGTTATAGAATTTACGAGAAAAGTCATAAATTACTTTCGTCTTATTCCTGCTACTTTGAGTTGACAATGAACACTTAGGGCTTTACTTGTAAATTCTATAACTTTGCAAAGAACGGTCGTGTAAAGCTGGAAGATGTCTCATTTTAATCAGAAATTTGCGGGCTACGATCATGCCTCATTAAGAAAGGTTCTGATTATATTTTAGAGTTTCTAAAAAACTGGTTTTCTAGAAAACCAGATCTTCGAAGGGCTAAGAGCAACCCCCATGATCATATTTGGAATTAGCATGGTCGATAACCTATAACCTACTAGATTCCGAGCAAAAAGCGTTTAATCACCTCGAAAGGTTCCTTCGTTAGCACACCTAAGAAATATATCAGTGAAAATTTGAGAATTCTACGAATAAAGAAAAATGAACAAAGATGTTTGTTTTGAAAAGATGTGATTTGAACTTCGAACTAAAATTACCACTGTTACTCCATCCTCTATTCTATTCCTCAAAGGATAGAGAGCACTATAGGAACGCAACTATTTGTTGTTTAAGTACTTGTCAAGTAAAATCATAGATACTTCCACAACATAAGAGTGCTGTCTGATTCAGATCAAGAATCTTAACGTAAAAATCGTGCGAATCTTTAGTAAAGTGACAGAACTATAAAGGTACTTTTATAATCATCATCTTTATAATTTTAAGATTTGAGAGTTTTAGAACTTTTTAAAAAAAGACAGAAATATTGGAAAATCTTCGTTGAGTCTTCATTTACAACAATACGTGTTCTGTTCATATCTATCTTAAAAATCTATTCAAAGTTAAGAAAACAATCAAACAAACAAACTATAACGGTTTCATCGATCAATCCCGGCTGTCGAGCGATCGAATGTACCAGAAGAATTGCACATGTCCGACGTAATGTGCAGCAACGAACAAAACATTGATCGATATTGAGAATTTAGCATCGTCAATACGACAGATATCAGGTGCATGACTAAGACAGTACATGATTGCTCTTTTAACCTACGCGAGCCAACGTTCATTCACACTACTTTTTCGGAAAAAAGCAACTAAAATACAGCTAACTGTTTTTCGTATATGAAATTAATTGGATAAATAAGCTTTTATAGCCAAACCATGAAGAACAGATTCCTTAGTTTTAAATGATTATACAAAATATTCAGTGCAAAATTAATAAGGTTGAATCGTAGCAAAAGAATTCAATATCTCATACCGCTCTTTACTAGAAAACTTGCGTCTGAAAATGTAATAACATTTAATACACGTCCAAAAGTTTTCCAGAGAAGTAGTCTATTTACATTGATAACTTCTTATCTGTGACGAATAACAATAAATTTTATTTTTGCACAAGCAACGCGAAAATGCCACCACTAGTTGAGAACGTAGACGCAAGAATCAAATTTCTTAGATATTTTCTCGGTGATTGATTATAAGCGAAAATTGAATACGTTAATAGTGAGAAATATGAAGCATCAAAATAAGAATTAGCAAGTATTGAAAGACATGAAAGACACTCGACTATATTTAATCATGACTAGACTTAACTCGTGTTCAACTAAAAACAGAAAACGTAATAATACTTCTTAATATCTGACATCTGAATGATAAACCAGTTTACATTCTCGTTTGAACTAGCAAGTAAAGCATGACATTTCCTCTCCTTCTCATTTTAGCAGTGTATTGCACTCGATTAACAACAGAAAATATGAATATAAAAAGATGATTGTATTTCATCAAGCAAAAAAAAATATATTTATAAAACTTGTGCAGGTTGTAAACACGATATACTGCAACAAACAAACAAAAGAAATAAAATAAAATAAAATAAATAAGAAACTTTCCTATTTTTTTACAGGAAATTTAATAAAAAAAAAAGAAGAGACAACGAGGAAAATATGAGTTTTAACGGAAGCCGGGTGGTGGTGATCCAGCATCGACTAGTATATGAGTAAATAGTGGATAAGCGGTTACATTTGTTAAATTATACTTTACTGATGACACACCGTCCCACGAGTAACGTTTAGCGGCTGAAAATAATAATTTCGCACGTTTATTCCATACAGATGGTGTACGTTTTGTATGTTGTAACATTCTATAACGTCCGATTGATGGCGGTGGGCGAATTATTTTTAGTGATACTTCTTTCAATCTGTAATACAAATCATCATCTTCTGCTCCCCATCCCCAATATAAATTGGAATAACCGTTTACCATAAGAAAATGATCCGATTTTAATGCTAACACACCACCTACTAATTCTTCATAAGTTAATCTTAAAATAAATCCATAGACAAGAATGAAATATTGATGAAATCAACTACTTATTGATTAAAGATATCTATAATGCTTCTTCTTACTTGTAATCCATTTCATTAACAGCTACGGACATATGTCTAGGAAAAAAAGGACATGAATACATATTTCTATCATCTTCAGGTATTAGATCAACATCATGAAATACATAACATTGAAAATCATATTCTGATGATGCATAGATAAAAGCAGCATTCATTAAAACACCTTTATTATATGTATCATTTCCAGTCTAAAACCAAAATATACTTGATAATTAAAAAAAAACCAAAAATAAAAGGTAATAAGTATTTCTTTAGATTATTTTTTTGAATATAAGCAACAACTGTATTACTGTACTATCGAGATTTACCATTTACTGAGAATTAATCATCTAATTTACCTGTTCTGAAACATATATTTTATAATCTAATTCTTGTCGTTGTAATATTGGATGTAAATAATATAAAAGGATTGTTAAATGTTCAAGACGATCACGATACGGAATGATTATAGCTACCTCCAAAGAGAAATTCACTATTAAATTAAAAAGAGAAAGAAATGATGTAATAGAAGGTACCCTGTGTCTGGCTAAACAATTTCGCGGTGCCCAACTACCACCTGATCGGATATTGGAATAATTCATTTCAATATCGTATAAAGTTAAATTTGATAATGTTGAATTTTCATCTAATACACGACCTTCTATATAAAAAACCAGAAATAATTAACTTTCATATTTGCCATTTTAGCTGATTATTTTGAAACACCTTACTTAAATCAATTGGTTCTTCGTTGCAATATAATCGTTGTTTATATTTCGTTCGTCGCTTTTTCAATGAATTCCAGATTTTATCTGTTTCATTTTTTCGTTTTTTATCAGATCTGTTATTGTTGTTATTATCAAGATAATTCACATGTTCTTTCAGTTGTTCATAGATGTGTTTAACATTGGCAAGAATTTTTCTATTTGCACCAACTGGATTTAATAAATAATCTGTGGTTTTATTTTGATGGCGTATTTGTTTAATTGATTTATTTGAAGAATTAATAACCGGTTCCAACCACCAACCTGAAATATCGGAATCTCTTTCACGAACTTGGGTTGAACTATTCATTTTTGTATCATATAGATACTTGTTATGGTAATCTTGATGGTCCATAGCGGAATTTGTAGTGAAATTATCATTTTCAATCATTCGATAATAAGAATGAAACAGTAAACGAAAACGATGGATATAAGTTTCAATAGTAAATAATAGACGCCATTTATCTAAATAAACAAGTAAAAAAAGGAAATATCAGATAGGCCAGTAGCAAATAATAGATAATTGACACTTTGAAAGCAGCTGATATTGTGGATCTGTCAGATATCTATGTCTTACTATAATTTTTCGCTCACATCAATTCAAAATATGAAGATATACAATTGACGGTTAAGAATAATCGATACCGAAAACTTTCTCAAGAAATTACGAAAGTCTGAAGTGATTCTGTGAAGTTTGTATTACATTCATATCGAATCTCTCTACATAAGTTAAAACTCTTTCTAAATGTGTGCAATTAACAAATATAACATTGAAACCTCTAGAAATATCGACATCAGAGGTAAATCATATTGATCTCGATCTCCGTCATTCTACTCTTCACGTACTTCTACGGTTTCCAACAGAGCAATTAATTATTCCCAAGTCTATTCGAGTATTATTCGAAATTTCAAGCTAACGTAAAAGGATTCTAGACTTCCCAAACGTGAAAATGTCGATCACTGATTTACCTATGATGTCGATATTTCCAGAGGTTTCAGTGTTATATTTGTTAATTTTACACATTTAGAAAGAATTCCAACTTATCCACAGAGATTCGATATGAATATAATATGAACTCCACAGAATCAAACCTCTAACTAATAGTCATTTTTTCTGTATGCTTGCTAAACAATTGAGCTTTGTGTTGCTTACCTATAGGCAATACATTATCTTTCAACATCATTTCCATACTTTCATCCATTTGTTTTAATTCTTCTTGCATTGTTTGCATTGTATAAAAATTTGTACCATATTGACTAGTGTGTATAACAAGAAGTTGTGATACTGTAATGATAATTAAAAATAGAAAAAATAATAAGATTAAAATAGGTGGAATATCCCGTCTTAATAAATTTGTACTCAATGGTTCATGAGAATAACGATAGAGACGTGGTGATAATGCAAGAGACCGTAACTGTTGTTCATATTGTTCATCTTGAAATATGGACGTGGTAGACGAAGATGTTCGTAATATTAACGGTGAGGTTATATATTGTTGCATTGCGTTAAAAATAGCATAGGATTGTCATATTTTTCTCTACAATATTCATTCATGTACTACAGTAAAACATATTTTACATCGATGGTAGTTGAAAAAGAACAAGAAGGAAAAAAAAAATAAAGGACTTTTTGTTTTTAGTTTTTAGTCCTTCCGGTTATTGTTTGATGTGATGATCATCGTTGGATTAAAAGCATCGAATAAACAATAAAAAAGATTAATGAATGAATGTACGGATATAAAAAACAAAAAAAAAATAGACTAATAAAAGTCAACAAGAAAATCTCATAAAGGTAATTTTACGCCATTCGATTCTTTTTCCTTTTTCTTTTTTCTGTATCTCTTTTCAATAGTACTAGAGCTGAATTCATCATTATAATCTAAAAACTAGAGAAAGGAATAAGAAAAAAACTTGGTGACAGGATAATTATTCTGTGTTTTCATGTTTATTAAAACATCAACACAGCTATATAGACACACTTAATTACGTAAAGAGGGAAAAGTTAATCGAGAAAATAAAACGGATATAATTTTTTCTAAAACTCTAACAGTCGACAGCCTTTTCTGCCACTATAAACAATCTCAATAAAGAGGTGAATTAAAAAAAAGAAAATTGTAAGTGTTAATTAAACTTATTGTTTAAAGGAACATTGTAACTTTTCTGATTGCAAAGGAAACGAAACTTTTCCACTTTTAGTACTTTTTCGAATAACTGCGCATCTTTATACGTACCATGGAATTACTAAAGTACAGCATTGATCTAAAAAAAACAAAATCTCAAACTGAACTCTAATTTAGAAAAAGTCCAATATTGTATATATTATCACTTTTTTATTATTAGTATAAGTTTATGTGTGATGTTTGACTGCCGGTCCAATAAGATAAAATAGAAAAGATATTAATACTGATGATATATATAAATATATATTATATAGGACTATAAGTTAGTTATTGCAGTATTTCAAGAAAAAAATGAATCAAGGCACAAAAATGTACCACACAATTATATTATTAATTTTATTTTAGGATCAATTTTCTTTAAAACACATTCCAACTACAGCTATTTGATGTGGTTTTGTAACAAATTTTCAAATTTAAGATTTTTTTGAGTTTTAGACGTTATTTAATACCATTTTAATTATATGTGTATTGCCACTTAGCATTTTTCTTTCTATCATTGCTACATATGCCTTTTAATAGAGTAATAAAATTTTCAAACATTGACTGTACATCCACCAGTCTTAATTTTAATCTTCAAATAACTTTTATTTTTATTTTCAAGTAAGAGGTTTTTTATCTGTCCTGGAAATGAGTCAAAGAAACTGATAAAAATTGTTTTAACGTGCGTCTCAGATGAAGAGATAGTGCGTCACAGGATGCTTGCACCTCCCTTCGCATTTTTATAAATTATTTAGTATTGACGAATTTATTCTTAAAACTTTTATGTTCTCTGATAACTTTCATACATGTTAAAAGAATAAATAAAAATAAAATAAAAGAGAAATAATTACAATCTCGTCAATATTCATACATTTTGGTCTGTCTGATTGCTCCAAAAAAGTATGAATTGTTCGCACAATGCATGTGGCATCTAATTCACGTGGTTCGATTCCCCTAAGCATAAATAGCGATAGTAAGCGATAGTTCCCCTAAGCGAACACATAGTAATTTCGTGCTATTAACAAGCGCTAATAAAATCTTCTGTGAATGGCGAAAATATGAAATTATTGCATTACATCAACATTTCAGACAGATATAGTTGAAATGTTCCCTTTGATGATTTGAGTTTAACAGTAAATAGAAGCTGTAGAAGCACGTGAAGAGTAAGTGACGAAGATTGAGAGTAATATACACCAGAATGGTCCTCTTGTTGAATAGTGCCTTCTGAAAAAGTGCATGGACCTCCACTTCAAACGCATTTTCCTTTTTGAGGGTGTATTTCTTTAGTGTATTTTAGTCTAGTTTGATCTTTGTATTATCCAGCATGCAAAAGATTTCAAACTAGGAATCTATTTGATAACATATTCATCGCACAACTGAGCAAATAGATGCTTCTCAAAGATGCATGCTAAACACATCGCTTTCGTTTTCTCATAATTGTTCTGGTAACTTGTTAAGATGAAGTGAAATTTCAAGCTAACGTAAAAGGATTCTAGACGCTTTCTCTAGATTTAAACACTGGGCCGTGTGCTAATCACCTATCCGTATAGGCAAACAGCACACTAAAACGGGTCAAAAGCCGATTTATAGTCGATAAAGATCATTGCCAGTGAGAGCCTGTAAAATGTGCTCTAAAGCCATACTAGTAGTCAGACAGTATTCATCGCTCGTTCATAAACTCGCAAAATCGCTCGAGAACTAGATGCTCTAAACTTTTTAGAACTTGTCTATTAAAAAATTAATTTTATTTTCACAAGTTCGGATAATATGATAGATGATACAGCATCATTCAAATTCTTCCATTCTGATAAAAGTGAATCTGTATATGGATGTGGTGCCAAAAACTCAAAATTTGAGCAAAATTTTTTGCCGTTTTTTTGACATGGTTGGATAGAGCTCATCGAACTGCATAGGTAAAAGTCAATTTAAGATTTTAAAAATTGTATTTCTGTTTTATACAATAAAAACATCATATTCAGAATCAGCATCAAAAACTGAGCCAATGATGTACTTTTTTATCCTATCTGACTACTTCAACATGTTTAGAATTTTCACGTCGATAAACTTTCACCAAAAAATGAAAATTAACCAAACATTTTGAAATACTCGACTCAGTTTTTGACGCTGATTCCGAATATCGTATTTTTATTGTATAAAAGCTGAATTCTAATGGAGAAAACTGAGAGTTAAGGACAGAACTCCGATTTTTTCGTTTCTGACCTAGAAAAAATGAATTTTGTCCGCAATGAAGGATTAAAACAAACAAGTCTCAACGTACTTTTTTTTCGTATGATTAGAATGAAATGAGAAAAGAAATTTTATGTTCAAATCCGCAGGACGAGATAGACTTCATGGAGAATCAGAAAAAAATAGTTTGGGAATTTTAAAGGATTAATGCAGCTGTGTAACCGGCTGATTTTTAGAAATTGCACTGAAATTCACCAAGCTGATCCACAATTAATATTTTGATTTTTTCACAGATTTCACAGAAATACAATTTTTAAAATCTTAAATTGACTTTTACCTATGTAGTTCGATGAGCTCTATCCGACTATGTCAAAATTTTGAGATTCCAGCACCTTACTACTGTGGATTCGACAGATCATTTTTCATAATAATTGCGACATTTAGCATGCCGGTTATTTTTCATTTAACAATGATGGTTAAAAATACCTTTTCAACGAGAATACCTATGTTTCTGACACCTATTGACTCTTGTCGTTTCAATTGAAGAAACGTTTAATACTCGTAATGAGCTGGCTGATGTAGTTCTTTTACCTCAAAACGTCGAATTACATAATCTGCCTATTTTTTCTCATAAATGGAAATAAATGGAATAATTCACTGTCAATACAACTGAAAAATCATAAAAACTCGTAAACGAAAACAAATGAAAGAAAAAATCTGAGCATTTGCTAGTGTACGACTGCAAGACATACACCTAAAGCTGGTACTTGGTCGCTGGTGGTTTTATGCTCACAGACTTGTAGATTCATTGAAATATCGAGCATGAAGCAAATATCCAATATAATATCCCGAACGAACAGATGTTGTTCATTCGTAATTAATCAAAGTCAAAGAATGATCAGTAGTCTATTTCAACAGCGTTTCGGCAGCATCTTTATCTCTCGGTAAGTCAAGATAAATGCTAAAATTTCATCACCTTGTCAAGTACAAGAGTTTTTCTTTTCCTCTTAGTCTTGTGTTTTTTGTGTTTTTTCCAGTTCATCAGTCTGTTGGTTAGTTTTGTTTTGTTTTCGTGTTCAACAAGACGATTGAAGTCTCTGCAAACGAAAGTGACGATTTCCTCTAACAGAGCAAAACGATGTGAAATATTGATGAAAACTGTTTTCTTTGATAAGAGAGAAAAATCCAACTAGAGATGCGATTTGAAAATATCGTTTGGTCACGTAATGCTTCGTTATCGGTCACAACATTAATGCTAGAATTTGTTTTGTTACCTTGAACGATAACTTCTTACCGAAGGGCAGTGAGTATCTTCGAATCGTGATTCAGGCACATCGAGTACATTTAACAATGTTTGATCATTAATATTGTGGGTTTTTACATATCAACATCAAATGCTTTACACTTAAACATCGTATTTTTAACATTTCCAAAGTAAATGCCCAATCTCATGACATGTGCTGCACTCAAGGACTTTTACTGTAGGCAAAAACTCTGACATTCTTCGAACAGTAATGGATTTATTTAACAACAAAGTCTCTCAATCTAGTTCTAATGAATAGATTTTTCGAACTAATTTTGCACGAATATTATCTTTATCGATAATTCTTCTAGCCTCTACAATATCCGGGCATTCTCTTGACAAATCACAGAAACCTCACGAGAGAGTAGTAAAGATTGAGTAGGCGAAACGTTTTGGATTTGCTAATTTGTATAATAATAAACACAGTATTCGACGCCATTTTATGCTGTCATACTGAATAGTGAATGACTCTCAATTTGGACAAAAGACAGGGAATCACGGTTCTTCTGCAGATCGATCACACCCCCTACTGTGGTGTGTGTGGAGTGTGAGTGTGAGTGTGAGTGTGCGATCGATCTGTAGAAGTACCGGGAGTCGCCCTTTGTATTTGTTTTCATACCGTCAAAAGCAACTTTTTCCCCAATACGTACGGCTGCAATGAGCAGTTAAATTAGCTGAAGCTTTTGTTTCATAAAACGTCTGACCGTTGAAACAGAAAAGGAATAATATAAACGGATAACGAGTTCCAACGTATCGACAAGCAGATATCGGTACGTAATCTGCAGGTTTCTTTATAGCTGTTTACTTGTTTCGTCTCATTTTTTTTTTTTAATGAAAATCGTTTAATTGCCTCCCTACAAGAAACGTTTTGAACTATTTGTCTCATTGTATAATAGACAATCATGTTTACTCGTACTTCTCTTCGGGAACATGGCCCATTCAAAACAATACTCAACAGCTTTCAAAGTTATCAAACGCTAAGCACAGATTATCTCAAAACTCGCAGTGGGTTTGTTTATCACAAAGTTGAACTACTTTTTTTGTCTTTCAGTTGAACTATCTTTCTTACAGCTTTGATACTGTTTTCTGTGGAAAAAAGTCGATCTCAGGTTCTTTTCAGACTATGCGCAGAATCTGCTGAAATTCTGCTGGAAAATCTGCATCAGATCTGCAGGTTTTTCGCAGATTCTGCTACAAATCTTGTCCACATTCTGCATGCGGATTCTGCACAGATATTTACAAATTACAAAATCTGTGCAGATCTGTTTCAGAAATCCATAGACACGTTTTATTTGGTAGAAAAAACAATAGTGTGCGAATGCTGTATGGTAGCCTACTTGCTAGAGTAATAGAAAGTCATTGGAGAAATATTAGTGGTTAACTGAATCATATAAATTTCTGGTCAAATAGAACTTTGACAACTAACTATAGACATTTGTTATTCTTCATGAGACTCAGACACTTTCCAAAAAGTATTCACATTTCTTCTAAAAAGAACTGTCATTGCTTATCAAATAAATAATCGATTATTTACGAGAGATAATTAATACAAGTTATTATTGATAGTAATGACAATATTTTTGAATATGAAACATATTATCTCAACGTGCGCTGTTTTTTTTCTTCTATTGAGAATAATCACATCAAAAATAGCTAGCTGTTTCAGTATGTAAATGAAATTTAATCCCAAAGCTCCAATGACATGCTGCAAATATTTGATTAAGCAGTACAATCTGATCCTGACGACGAAATAGACTATATAATACGCCTAGAAAAGAAAAATGAAATGTCACACTATAGTTTCCTCCTTCAATGAGAAAGTTTCTTCTGCATTCTACACTTCGATCCAACTGTACAAGTTAAGAAAATATACGCTTAACTCAACGTAAAAAAATCGCAACCGAGCTCATTTCGTACTACAAGATTTGAACTCTAACTCGACTTAATCGGACAAAAACATTTGCTTGTTCGTATACGCTCACTTATTCTCTTTTGGACACTTTAATTAGGTTTGTTGTACAAGCGTCTCTATGTATTCGTGTTTCAATTTGCAAAGTTGTTTTTCATTTTCTCGGCAACATAAACATCTGTCAGTGCAGAAAAGTCGATGAGAGTAGTTTAATGGCTGAAAGGAGGCTTAGGTTAGAAAAAATATAATCCAGTTCAGCACTCAAAAGATCACATCAAATCCAATCGGTCGTAGGATCGGGTTGAAGTACTCTAAATTGAACCTGTTCATCATTTTTACGACATTCTCTCATCTATTTTCTGCGACAGAACGCGCGGATAGATGATGATTATAGTACACTGAATATGGTGTTTTAGAATCAAGATTCGAGTTTTGCACTATAAAACGCGCACACATTTTTGAAAAATACTTTTTTTCAATTTCTGCTGTTTACAATATATCGATAAGTCTATAGAAAATCAGAAAAACTGTTTCTTACCGTCTTGCACAAGCTTCATACAATTTGATCTTTTTCATCACAGCCAATTTGTATAGGACTGTGATGTCATAAAATCAAGATCCAAGTAAGAATTTCAGTATAAACAATTCATTTAAATAATAAAAAGTTTGTCAGTATTGATTTTGAGGTCTGAAAGAAAACTATTCTATTGTTTGAAACAATAAAAGCACATGCGATGCTTCACTTCCTTCTTCCCCTCTTCTAATCACTCTCTCAATAGTATGTATAAAACTTTTCTGTTCTGTCTGTAATAACACATGTACCGCTTTTCTTTCTCGTAACATCTTCTTTCTCACATGATGTCTATTTTCTATTCGTCACTCATTTATGAAAGCATATCAGAGTTGCTAATTCTCGATTTTCTGAAGTAGGACAAAAATTTCTTAAATGGAGACGAAAAAGAATATGAAAGGGAACAATTTTTATGGCAAATCAATTCGATATACAATAAACGAAAAATTAATCTGTAAGTTCAAATCTACACTATTTTTTCTGTTCGAGAACAATCTGAGCTGTTCATTGTACGAAAAAGAGAGAAATCACACAGGAAAAAATTAGTTATTCATAAAAATTAACTTCCTTTATTGATTGAGTACTGCTTTTACAATTTCTTTCTTTTTCAGCGATTATATAAATCATAGACCGCTCAAATTGAGAAAAATCACATTTCTTATAGTTAAAATTTTCTAGAGAAGCGTGTGAAAAACTGACATAGGTTTTGAATGTTTTCAAAATCTCTAATTAATTAATTAGCAAGTAAAACTGGCTGCTAACTAATCGAATGCTACAAATGAATGAAGATAATTCGAAATTTTAAAGATCATTTGGGTCGACTTTGAACAAGATATAGTTTTCGATGAAAACAGACGAAAATTCATCTTTTAGATAACTTAAAATTAAGTTTTAGCTCATTTCTTTCAATTTTTTCGAAAATAAACATTCTCATCAGACACAGCAAAACAATCCATCTAATTTTTAAAGTTTAAAGTCATTAATTTAAAAGTCATTGGATGTCAGTACTAAAACTCCCAGAAAATCTGACTTTACGACTAAACGAAATAAATACGGATCTCGGTCTTTCGTAGATTTGTAGGCAACAGTTCAATGGTTTGAACCGTTCCTACGAAAAATGTAACAGAGACAGCATCTACAGACGATAATTTTTTAAGACAAATATGCAGTCAGGTGCGTACACAATGTGTTTATGACACTCGAAAAGATTTCTGCGCACTCCTATCCAATCTATCCCTGCCAGCGCTGGGTACGAAAAAAGTATCGTATTTATCATTAGTTAATTAGACATTAATAGTCGTTTGAACTTACAATCAGAAACTCATTAAGTACAATGCAGCTTGGAAACGGCGCATTCGTTTTAGCTTTGAAAAAATTCAATAAATGTAAATTTCTGATTAAAATGAGATATCACCAGCTTTACACGACCTTTCTTTGCAAAGTTATAGAATTTACAAGAAAAGTCATAAATTACTTTCGTCTTATTCCTGCTACTTTGAGTTGACAATGAACACTTAGGGCTTTTCTTGTAAATTCTATAACTGTGCAAAAAAAGGTCGTGTAAAGCTGGAAGATCTCTCATTTTAATCAGAAATTTGCGGGCTACAATCATGCCTCATTAAGAAAGGTTCTGATTATATTTTAGAGTTTCTAAAAAACTGGTTTTCTAGAAAACCAGATCTTCGAAGGGCTAAGGGCAACTCCCATGGTCATATTTGGAATCAGCATGGTCGATAATCTATAACCCACTAGATTCCGAGCAAAACGCGTTTAATCACCTCGAAAGGTTCCCTCGTAAGTAAAACAAAAAAATGATTTAGGCTAAATTTTGAAAAATTTTGCACGAATGTGCATCGATACGTGAAAAAAATATACGTTATGTCACTGGCATTCAAAAAGATCACTGTACCCCTGTCTGAATCATGGCAGTCAGTGTCAAATTGCCATTCGTGCCCAATAGCAATGCCAATGTTTTGTAGGATAGCATCAAGTGTTTATTGTAGTCATTGCTACAACACATTTATATTCCTGAAAAAGGATACTAAAATATCGACTAAAAATAAAAACGTTACTGGAATCTAAAAAATACACACACTTTTTTTTGTAATATCTATTTAATTTTATTTGTTAACAAAAAACAAGAGACAGTATAATTAACCATAAAAAAGAAACAAAAAAAAATTCATTCATTCAATCGAACAAGCTCTAAATAGATTAAATGCTAAAAACATATTTGCTATTGAAACAAAACATGTAATTAATAACAACCCGTGTACTCTCTCCCAAAGAAAAAGAAATTTAATTATATAATAATAGTAGAAGTAGATAAAGAGGTAGTTAACATATTCGGCTTAAATGAACACATTTTTACTTTCGTTTTTTTGATACAGTAGAAGATGAATACGTATTGACCGTTGCTGATGTACCATAAATATTTTGCGAAATTTTATTGATATAATATAATGCTATCAATGAAAATATCAAACTAAAATCAAGAACATAAATACAAATATTTTGAATAAATTTGATTAGAAAAGTTTTTTTCCTACCATGTAGTTACGCAGACACGATGGACAAATGCACAACTCATCATGGATATTAACAAACAAATAATAACTAGAAGAAAAAGATAGTCGCATTAGAATATTGTCGCTCACTCTAAACCATAGACAACACTATAGTTCTATCTGACTCATTTTAATTCTGACAAAATTATTACTTTCAGGAAATATTTTGGCTTGAAATGTTGGTCCAAATAATTGCATTTCAAGATTGCTAGTTGCCTATAAGTAGTACAAGAACAAAAAGTTGTTTTTATTCAGAAAATGTAAAGAAAATTGACCTACCGTTAAAAGAGAGATGAATATTGTTGATCCAAGAAATCCACCCAAAATTGTTAATTGTTGATTTGATGCTAATTGATGTCGAAATAATTGCATGGAAGCAAATAGTAAAACAGTGACAGTTATTGAAAACAAGCATGATGCACCAGTCGAAGCTGTAGTAGCTAAAAAGTACGAAAAATGAGGAAATTAACGTTCTGAAATTTGTCTCCAACTATATAAGTATTTCTTACCCATAGTTTATAATAAAAGGAAAACACAAAAAAACAAATAATTTAATAAATAATAGATGATATAGGTAAGTATTTTCTCTAAAAACAAAAAACAGCGCATATTCTGTTAAACTTAAAAGCAAGACAACCAAATGGATCGAGATATTTAAGTGAAAATGAACACTGTTATCGAATATCAAATTGTTATTTTTATTTTTCAGAAATAATAAACAATAGTTTTGAAAATTAAATATAAACAAGTTAAAAGACTGACAAAAAATGAGCAATATTCAGTCCAATAGTTATTAATTATTCACACTACGCTTATCGAGTTGTGACCTTTTGAATCAAAACAAACTAATATGTTATCACTAGTTTAATTTCAATTCACTCTCTTACCTTGATACTAGAAATCACGTACCATTTGAATTCTAAATGGTAAATGAGACAGTATGACAGTGACATGACAGCTTTTTATACAAATGAAATGAAGGACATTTTTTAAAGATTTCGAGTAGCTTAAGTGGATATTCAAAAATCCTCATGCTCACTAATCTTTCTCACTTTTCTTTGAAAGCAAACATTACCACAATATTTGTAATGATTGCTAATCTATGTTTTCGTTTATTTCTGAGTTTTTGCAACGCGTTCAGGATCGACACTGAGACTTCCAAGAAGAACGATGCAATCGGATGACAATTATAGATGGAGAGATCGAGTATACCAGTATCATGAAGAGGATACTCCACCTTGTATCGGCCATGTTCGGAAATTCGTAATAAAACCCATGTTATAAATTATCGTGTGTTATAATCTACTTTTACAGAAGATTTTTAACTTATTTCTCTACAGAAGGGTGAGTAAAGCTTTTGGATGCAAAAATCCCAAAAACTGCGACTCTTGCGATATCGTCTATAAAACTATTAATAAACAAATAGCTACGACCACTTCTCTAACAGAGAAGACTTCTAGAAAATCCTCTAAAAATCTCTCCAACTTTTCACAGATGGACACAACTATACAAAATTTTTCGTTGGTGAGAAAATTATATACTAGTTTTATATTTTTATATATTGAATACGTAAAATAGCATTTTTAACTAAGATAAAATATAAAATCGCTCGTTCACAGTGTCTAACGGGATACAAAACTCGTTGACGGAAAAACTTCCTATACATGCTATTTTAGAAGCGAGTTTTTAATAATGTTTTTTTGTGCTCTTCTAATTTATATAATATGATATAAGTAGATAAATACTAGTACTAAGAGAAAGAAATCAAGTAAGAAAACACAATAATTTGTGAACTCTCATAAAGATCATAAGAAAATCGACGATTCAACAAGTTTAAATTTATTTTTAAAATCATTTTATAAAGAGTTTTTTGTTTACAATACTTGTTATTGTCAATTATCGTCTGTTGTTTTCTCATTTCTTTGATTAATTTTTTACTCTCATGAGATTTATTGATTTTAAATTCTTCGACGTCATCTTGAATTAGAGCATACTCAAATTAGAGAAAACAATGAACTTTTTTTGTAATTACGCATCTTCACCATCAGCAAAACTTAACACCTGTTTTAGGTGGCACATCCGTTCTTACGTATTCGTCGTTAGCGTAGTTACTGTTATTGTATTTGTAAGAATGGTTGATACAAATGTGCTATCATGTTCCCGGACGTTTTCTTAGGAGGTCTTCGTTTAACTCATACACATTATCATCATTACGATCGACGTTTGGATTTTCGAAAACCACCTATTGTAAAACGAAAATAATATAAAACTTAAACAACACAAGAATTAAAATTATAGAGCAAAAGTCTAAATAGATTCAACACAAGCAACAGTATTAGTTAACAATAACATAAAATAAAAACATAATAAAGTTGGAGAAAAAGACTGAAAGGACTAATATTTTAAAGTATTGTGGGAAAATAGATGAGTCTGAAGAGTTTTCCTGTATTAACAACTGCAGATAAGTTGAATTGGTCCAACAAAAACGGAATATGGAATAATTCCGTAACTGACATCAACAGCAATACGTTCGAGACTAAACACAGGGTTGAAATATGAGATTGAAAGAATTTTTGTCGAGAATACTGGCATACTCAGATACGGAGCAACGTAGACTTTGAAAAGATGGGTGTCCATGTTTTCGACGATGATGAAAAAAAAGCCAGATGTGCTACAAATCCAAATAATAAACAACAACAGTATCAGTATTCAGAGAATTTTTGTTTTCCAGTGAAAGATTAGTTTTAAAAACCCTGTCTGTATCACAAAATAAATTGAACAGAGTTTCAGGAGACGCTGGCAAATAAGGTAATAATTACTTTCTAGAACAGTTCGGAAAGCACGTCTAAAACCATTGTGCTTAGTATAACTGCCCTATCATTCAACCTAAATTTCAATTAAAATATAACAGAGAAAGACAATATCTTCTTTTCGATTGGATATTTCAGAGAAAACAACGAAAAACTAACTTCGAACTAATTTCCGAAATGCCAAAAGAAATTATTGCAAAATATTTTATAACGTACATCATGTAACAAGAATTTCTGAAATAGTAAAAAAATTGACAAAATATCTAACTTTATCAAGCCGATATTATTAAAGTCAAGGTCCGTACATAGAAGGTGTCAGTGTTATTTCATTTTTCAGTTGTACTATTTTGATGCAGGAACATAAACAAGCGCATCATGTCACATATCATTTTCTTGCTTGATCATTTAATTTCTCTTATTCGAGTGTGAACAACCAATCAACTTTTCAACGGGGGTCGAGAGAAAACTAAATCGTCCCGTTAGAGGTCACGATCATGTGTACTCAATGCTTGGTATGAGTAACTCACTAAATTAAAGTGTGAGTCTATAAGTCTATAGTAATAATGGCGGTTAATCAACAATTTTCAATAGAAAACGACGACGTGGTTAAAGTCTTTCTGTGAAAATGTTGTGCTGATATCTACGAAACATTATTTCTGCCGGATAATGGTATCTCTCTAGTAGCCGTAGTAAATAATAAATTGGAGTACTAAGGACTTTAAAAAACGCACGTAAAAGCCTCATTCTACGATAAACAGAATATGCAGTGATCTGTTTTGATATCATCAATCTTGTGTCGATACCAGAGTTGCCAGACCCTCAGGTCAGAAATGCGGAAAAATTTGCATTTGTTCGCATTGGTGCGAAAAGTGATTTGAATAAAGAGACCCTTTGCTGCCCGTACATTCATTCAATAAGCTATTCGGCAAAAAAGTTTGAACCAATTCTGTTCGGTGTATGAAAAGTAAATTTTACCACAAAGGTTTGTTGTTTTACTCAATAAAACACAAGAGAACAACAAACAGAATGAAATGAAAATCTTGATTTTAATTGACACGTTGTTTTGGAGCTCTATACATGTTTGACTAGCAGTTCTGGCATTAATAAGAAATAATTATAAATTTCACTACACGATAACGATGAGTTCAAACGAATTTTTAACTCACGGGAAAAATAGCAAAAACAGAAAATGCTTAAAAGGCGGACAAATTGCGGAAAAAACTAAAAAATCCCAAATTTGTTCGCAAAAATGCGGACCATCAGCATTATGTTGATGATGCATGAGTCCGATGATATATATTTAGAATTTTTAGTTGATGTTCATTTTTTGGTAAAAATCTTCATAATTTTATAACGTGAAATTTCGACAAAAACTAAAGTAATCGAATAGAATAGAAATACATACCAGTCGACTCTGCCTTTGATTCTGATTCCGAATATGATATTTTTATTACATAAAAGTTTAGTTCTGATGAAGAAAATTGAGAATTAAGAGCAGAATGCTAATTTTTTCGCCTGTTATTTAGAAGAAATAAATTTTCCCAGTAACAAAACAAAATTTAAAAAAAAGCGAGTCGTACTTTTAAAGCTGGTCTTGCAGGGAATATAATGGGATGTAAATGACGGTTCCAGCTATTAACACAAAAACTAGATACGTTTAAAAAATTATCTGTCCGAATTTGATGAATTGTGGATTGGAACATCTCTCATGGACAGACTTTTGACTCTAAACTCGGTCAAATATTATTATTTTAAGCACTTTTCAACGCTGAATCAGAAAAAAATAGTTTATAAAGTCTAGAAGAAAAAGCCGGACGAAAATTTGAATTTTGCTAGAGCTCAGTCAGTTTTCGAGCGGTTTCGAGTTTTATCGATTTTCGACATGAAAACACTTTGAAACTTTAAAAAATATATTTTCTTAATCAGTGCAACGAGCTCTATCGAACGATGTATAATAAATTCAAAATAAAATTTTGCTCAAATTTTGCATTACGTGCACCTTAGTACTACTGTTTGCATTTCTATAATACTACTAGTAGTACTACTCCATCATTAGGTTCGTTTTCATTTATAAGGAGTAGAGTGCTATAGCTTCTCATCCAGACTACTATCCGTACCAAATGGTCGTGCAGTCGGTTGCTTTTTGAATAACTCCTCGCGGGAGATAGATAATGAAGTGTGGTTTTCAGCATTAGAAAGAGGACACTTTAAGACATCTTTTCATAAGCGAAAGTCAGTTTCAGAAAAATTTCCTAACTTCGTTTTCCAGGAGATCTTTGAAAAACCAGGTCGTGTGTGCGAATTTTTCAATAGGATTGTATTGATTTTTTTTCATGAGCTGATAGCCCGGGATGTTCTCTTGAAAATGGAAGCCAGACGAGACCTTGATTTTCCGTGGTTCGGGCGTTGTATCGGATTTCCTACGAGTCCCAGG